TTTGTATGTATTTAGGAGAGAAGTTTGTCACTAACATGTCTCAGAGCAGGTTTAGAGCTACAAGCTGTTCCTGTCTCCTTACAAATGAATTTTATAAGAACAGTCTGCTGATATTAAAAATAGCCCCACTGATACCTTTCAAGTGCTTCCCAAGAAGAGAACTCTATTTTAGGGAAACAAAAGCTGTCATAGAGATATCCTTTACTTGTCATTGGGCAAGGTCCCCACAGCAGTCTGCACAAGCAACACATCCTAAACAGCATGAACTGGTGAAAGTTTAAAAGAAACAGATAAGAACAGCCTCACTTATTATATCCAGATATGGAAAAAATAGTCAAGCATCTGCTTTCTGTGCCAGACAGAAACATTGACAATAGCCAGCCTTGAAAGCACAGATAAATGTCAGAGTCATGAACACATTTCAGTCAATAATTGTGTATTAGGACAGCTGTACCAAAGACAAATAAGGTAAAACCTAAAAAACATCAGTGGATATTGCAAATGTAAAACAAAAATAAGTGTTGTGTGCTCTCTTTTTCTTCCTAACCATGGATAATAGTCTAAACGTGATTTTGTGTTCTATACAACGTATTTAGCAAATATAAACAATATCATACACAATTTCCATTGTGTTGCTTGGAAGTATAAATTGTGGGACCCAAATACATGAACTCAAATTATGGATTAATACAATTTAACCTTCAAAAAGGTTGCATTCCCTTGGTATCTCTCATAATGCCAATAAAAGCCCCAGAAATCCAGATATATTCCAGGAAATTATGATCACAAAAGGACTAAGTATCAATATAACTCTCAAATACACTTTTGTTATTTACTTACAGTTTTCATACACCCAAGAAAAAAAATGCCAAAAAATCCAAGCTTCTCTTCTGCTTCGTAGGTTAGCTCATTGCATGTGATGCCTGAAAAGAAAACCCCAAGTATAGTAGGTTTTGATCATAGGAAAGTCCTCAAAAATTTCTACCTGAAACAGGGGCTTGTTCTTCCTCACTGGTAAAAAGGGGGATAACTGGACTGTGTACTTATAAAGCTTAGTATTTAGTATTAGTATATATATTAGTATTAGTATTTGCTTTTTGTGATTTTTGATGATTTTTGTTTCCTACAGTACTGAAAAACGTTAACAATTTAGGAAAATGTTTTGGCTACAAATCTGGTTTAGACAAATCTATTTATTTTTAATATCAGATTTAATGGTTGAGCCATTTCTAACAAGCAGTGCAGGAAAGAGCTGCTGCTGGGAGACTGGAAACCTCTTCCCTTCCCTCTATAGCACTCTTCAGCACTTCACCAAAAATAACTTGATTTAAATGCAAGAGGAGTAAGCTTGGCATAAGGCTGAGAATGAAAGAAGATGACAGAGCACTTGGTAAGAACAGGAGAGAGGGATGAGAGCCTATGACAGGAAGCTGGAAAGGGGCAGGGACTGGTTGAGCAGGTGACTGGGATAAGTCAGAAGTGCCTGGGCAAGGAGGTTGGGAGATGATGGTGGCCACAGAGGCAAGAATGTAAGAAAAGGCTACAAAGGAAAACAGATGGAGATGATCTGATGGGAAATGGAGAGGCAGAGCTAAGCCTGACTGGCTGAAGAGAGTGCAGGTCAAGGATGTGTGAGGACACAGTAAGGAATTCAAGCAGGGAGACGTAAAAAGAGTTCTTTGATTCCCAGAGCACTATGGATAGACCTGTAGTCACTGCAGTTAACAAGAGAAACTGAAAAGGCAAAAATAAGTGGAAAGAATGAGAATGCAGTACTAGAATTTTCACATACTTGAAGGAAGCAACTATTTACAGTTTTACTGGTGTTTTTCCTGACACCATTTGTTCCTTTTTATATAGACCTATTTTGGGAGATGGGGATTTCTATTTCTATGTAGGTTCCTAAACCACTTTTATCACTATAGTAACTGTTGCAAATAGAAGCAGGACTGTTTGCCCTTGGCTGACATACATATGCTTTTTGTTGGACTGATGCTTTAATACAAAATCAATCAGTGCTAGAACTACTATGCTGCAGAAGTTTTCAAAACATTGTACACCTGTAAACAGAAAGTTCACTTAAGATTTTACTAACCTTGGTTATCAACGAGATCATCTTTATCCTATCTGAGTACAGTACCTGCCTGAAAGAGGTGTTGTCTAAGCCTGTCGTGTACTCAGCTGCACTCAAATCTCCCTTGTCACCAACATCAAGCTGTCAAACCTTCAGACACAGGGCTGGAAAGAGGGGTCACATACCTACTGTTATTTAAAGCTTCATCGCATTTCTACTGTTTTAGCGAAATGGCCACACTGGGAATGGCCACAGAATCTCGAAGCTGTTGCTCACACTGAACACCTTCCAAGGTGTCACAGGGTAGGGGGTTTTGTGAAGCCTTTACCAGCAGCACAGGCAAAGTCACCATCAGCTGCCTGAGAGTGTCCTGCCCTTGTGACTCTGGCTGAATTGTGACTTCTGGAACAGCAAGAAGCTCTTTGGCACTGCCTTTTGTATGACAAGGTCCTTTCCACAAAGCTGCTGCTTCTTGTTTCCCAATCCCCACTTTTTCTGGAGCTCTGAGATGTTTTGTTTCAACAACACCTGGCATATCTAAGAGCACAGACCCTGAGTTTGTAAATATCGCTGGAGTCAGAGTTAAGCAGAAACCATTTTTTTCCCAGAAGGAAGATCTTGCCTCAGAGGCAACATCATCTGACTTTCATCCCTTTGGCAATCAAGGTGAACTGGGATGTAAATATTGCTCTTTGTGAGAAGCTTAGCTTCTATTTTCTGCCTAGTTCTGCATTCAGTGATAACAGGAGCCCATGCCTGACACTGGGGCAAGCAGCTGATTTGTTACCATTGCAGGCAACTGTGTCATGATTAGAAACACGCTGTGAGCCAAAAGTCCTCTTCTGGCATAAGCAGCATCATTCTAGAAATATTTTCGATATTTTTGCAACATAAAGGTTCTAAGGCTTGCAATCATAGCAAATTTTCCCATCCACTTTGATTACTAAGCTAGAACTTTAGCTGGCATTGCAATTCTTAATGCCTTATATTTACTAGCAATTTAGCTTTTTAATACCCAGTGAGTATTTCATCTTACTCTGCTATCCTGAAAGTGTTAAAGTAGGATGGTAGGGATTATCCAAAGTTAGGAATCAAGGTGTAGGGAATTTTTACAACAGGTTTCTTAAAGTAATGTGCTCTTTCCTTCTACAGACCTTCAAAATGCACTTTCCAAATATATCTTTAACAAATTACACTTAATAAGTATCAGTGTCACGACACTCACTGATGCTTAAATTTTTAACCTTTAAAAATGTGGACCCACTTGTATTAGAAGTGGACACTGCATTCTCAAATAAAGAGCATTTTTGGAACATCAAAATGAAGATATGATAACCAGAGTACAGATAAATTAGTAACTTAGGTTCCACTTTGAAAACTGCCAGGAACACTACTCACAAATTCCAGTGTTTGCAGAGAACTCTTAATAATTGTCACTTTGAAAACCAACTTCCACAAACAAGAAATTGCAGCAGATAAAGAAAACTGTTCAGCCATAAGGAAGTTTTAAGGCAAGTTTATATTTTTCTGTCACATTTGTGTAAGTGCCTTGGAAATAACACAAGCATTAAAATAAAAAGGTTGCAATTTTGAAATTCTTAAAAACTAAGACACAGGCTCCTCCTAGTGGTAAAAACGTAGGAATTATTCTTTTTGTGTGGAGAAATTTCTAGCATGATTTATTGGTTCTGGAAGGTTTAGAGGCCTCTAAGTTCTTACCTATTGCCAAGGAACTGTTACCTAAATATCAAACACTTGCAAATCACTGTAACTATTTTTTCCCACCAAAATAAAGCTTATCTACCTTAGTGCTTCAGAGTGATGGAGTGGAAAGAATGGAAGACTGCATTCCAAAAGATTTATGTTTTTGTACCAATTTAAAATCCAACCTGCATGTGCACTTGGTATCCAGAAAGCAGCACTGGGATTTAGTGGTGGAAACTCTGCACAGCTCATCTTTGGCTCAGATGAATATGCTACACCCCCAACATTAAGTATGTGAAAGATTTTAAATATTGCAAAAATGTCTCCATTTTGAAGCCAAGTCTCACCTAAAGAGCAGCTACCTCAGTGTCAGTGCACTTGCTGAGCTTGTTAGTGATTCATCCCAACCCCAGAACTGCAAGGACTATATTTACTCACACTTGCTCTTCAAAATAAATTCTGTCAAAAGGGACAGAGAGCCATTTTTATCATTAAGTCCTTTAAAAGCCTTATTCTGCACTGACATTTCTAATCAGCCTAAAGCAGACAGCAGCTTATGTAATTTTAAAAGGAGCTGTATATAGTAAACGATGTTATGCACTTAATAATCTTCCCCCTATAATTTTAAGTTGATTATGTTAATAGGCCTACTAACATAATTACAACCTAAAAATTGAAATTGTCTACTGGAGTGGGACACAGCATTGCATAAATGGAACCTCTATTGCAAACCAAAGTGCTTTCAGTTGTAACTGTATTTGAAATACAGTAGTATGCAGAAAAGCACAAATGCTAAAAATTCAGATATTGCTATAAGAAAATTTATGGTCTCAGAAGACAAAAGAAAGAAAATAAATTCAAACCAGGCTCATTTCCTTATTTGCCAATTTCAGTTTTGCTTTAATGTTAGGAAAGGATGAAAGATCATTTACGTACTGCTTCTACTTGCAAGCATGCAAAAGAAATTTCCATATTTCAGATGTGTCTGTTTTCCCTATTCATGTTTTTCAAACACTTTGCTTTAAAGATAAATGACACAGATGTTGTGTTAGAAGAAGAAAAAAACCAACAAATTATTTAAAGCTGCTTATATGGGAAGAAATGTAGATACTCTCTTTAGAGTCTTTTCCACTATTTCATGTATGTGTGTGGTGTATTTTAATATAATTAGATTTGTTTTAGAATAACAAATGATAGAAAAACACAGGAGGACGAAAACTAGTTGCTGGTTGAATGACATTTTATTTTCACATTCAGAGAGCTGTACAGTTTCTATAAATAGATGTGATACTATAATATTTACATCATCTTCAACCAAACTAGTATATTCCATTTTAAATAGTAGATACCCTGACCAAGCCAAAACAGGGTTATTTCTGGGTGCATTTAGTCAGAATTCTATGTCAAAACATACAATACATCAGTTTGTATCAGAGCAATTTTTCCTGGTATTTTACATGTAACATTATTTTCTCTAGATAGTCTCACCTTCCAGCATCCTAAGAGCTTTCCAGACAAGTACAGTACAGTTCAAGAACAAAAACAAGATGAAAAAAACATTCATATCCAGCCTATTTAAAATAAGGAATGTGATGGATAGTTTTAACTACATTTTTTTATACATAAACACAATATTTTCAAGATCCCTTCATATACAGGTACAGATTGAAAAAAAAAATAAAAAGTAATAGTAAAAAAAATTTGGAGACAGCAAAATCCTCTGGGCTTCTGAACATGTTCTGCAGATTTCTGTACTGTGCTTCTGCCAATAATGTTTCCAAGTTTTACACTGCTTTATTCATTTTCTAATCCCTGTGATTAACTGCTTTAAGGAGTGCTTATTTGCATCTGTGAACTCTACTGTTGAGGGAGCTACAAATGTTACCTAAACTCCCATTTGAAAATCCACAGAACCCGTGAAGTGTTGAGGTTTTTTACACTTATACTACCGTCAAAGTTTCCCTCTTCACTTGAGAAGCAGACATCTCCAGAGATGGACCAATTAAATAACCAAACTCCAACTGTCACAGGATATTTTAAGAATATGACAGCAAAATTGTTCATCTCTACCAAAAGGGACTGTAGAACTATGTGACAACATCGTCATGTTGGTAATTAAAAATGAACAACACAGAAGGAAAACAACAAAAACACAACATTGAAACAACATACAGGACCAGGCTGCTTTCACTGAGCACATACCAGAGAAATCTGAAAGCAGAAGCCTGCAGTTGTAAAGTGATCAAATTGTAACAAGTACCACTAGAACAAAAAACAACCAAACTCAAGCTGTTAGTCATCTCAACAAAAAAGGAATTTCAAAGGAATGTCCAGAGTAAGTCACTCACAGCTGGATGCAGATGCTCAAAACTGTCTGATTAAAAGCTCATTTAAAAACTCCATCAAGGATGAATTCAGAAGGAGACTGAACAGGGAAGGCTTAGGTTTTTCTATGGGGAAAGACTTGCAGGGTCATACATAAATAATCGAGTTCTCATAAAAGACAGAAAATGAGCTCCAGTAATTGCAGTAAAACTGGGAGTACTGCATATCAGTGTGCCAAAGGGTAGACATTTCCAAGTATCATGATCAACTGGAAACTGGTCGAGGTGGTTTGCTTTTGTTTTCTGCCTCTTTTCCACGAATTGCAGCCACATAAGAGAAGAGACACAGCACGGAGTAGCAGATCTCATGAGCCTACAAGAATTTAGAAGAAGAGATACTAAAATTTAGATTAAGCGTTTAACAAAAGCCATTGCACATTTGTATTTTCCTGCATGTCTTCCTTCATGGGACAACTACTCTGGCTACAGACAAAATCAGGAAAATGTGTCCCCTACCATCTTCTAACTGGGACAGAGAGAGAAGAGCCATATAACAAGCTAAAAAATTCCTTGGGATAAAAACATTAGCTGCTTAACAGTATGATTTAATAATTTTTAAGAACAGTATGCTAAGCTAGAAAGTTGGCCAACTGGCTTTAGAAAAATCATTCTGTGTATTTGCTTTTGGTCTGTTGCATGAAATTACAAGATGTTTTCTAGGAGGGGTTGGAAGAGCTAACTAAAGAGAGGGTTTCACATAGCACTACTCAATTTTACAATTATTTAACTGATTAACTGTGATGTTATATAACCCAAAAATCCTCTTTTACCATGTGACTGGCAGCACAATTCAGTGAAGGTAAGACTTAACTTATACATTACTTCTAATACCAGCTGTTCTGGTGATCTTAAAAATTCTTGTCCTTTAAACTGACATTTAAAATTTTTGTAAAGATAATAAACATAACAACATGTTTTGCTGTATTACAGTACAAGCTAAAACACCTCCATAAAATACTTTTTTTCCCATTAAACTGGCTTTTCTTACCAACAGATACAGCTATTTGCTTCTTAAACTACATATATTCTAAGCATTTTGTTCTAAAACATTTCCAGATTCTTCAAATAATTTTGCTCTCTATTCTTCTGAAGGACTGAGTTTCCATGAAATCACCAAATGTGCAAACTGCATTTCAGACTTAAACTGAAATTTCAGTTCTGATGACAATCATTGGTTTCTATTTCTTCCTCATGAGTGCATCTAAACCTGATCATGTATAAAAGTGTTAAGTATCATTATCAACTGCTGGTGTTCACAAAAAATGTTGTAAAATCTGAACATTATAACAGAACTCATCTATACAGCAGGAATCAATATTTTTACTGTTCTCTCACAAGTCATTGCTCATGAGGAGATGGGAATTTTTTGTGAACTCTTATAATAATAATTTTATTCTTAGGAAGAAGTCTCCCTTTCCATTGGTTCCATGGAGTAAGGATTGTGTTCTGCACTGTCTTAAAATTAACAGTTCCACCAGTTCTTATTGTGCTAAAGTTCAATGCCAAATTGGCTACTTTTCATTTTTACTTGTCTTAAAAAAGGAGACAGTGCTTTCTGCACTACAGCTGAGTTCTTCTAGCACTCAGAGATCCAACAATCACTGAGTTTTGCTGTTTCCCCCTAATGAAAACATCATAAAGAGCAGCGGGTGTTTCACTGTAAATCCTGCAGCCTCAATGTAATTCTTTTCTCCACATGAAAATGTAAAGTCACATCCTCTAGACAACCACCAGAGGCACCACAGTGGACTCACCATTGGCGTCTTGTACTTGTGGCTCACCACTTCTTTAGTTTCAGGAACTAAAACCGGACGGGCAAGAGACAAAACAAAAAGTTCAAAAAACGAGAGGCAAACGGGAAAGAAATAGCACAACGTTCCCATGGGAAAGGGAAGGGATGCAGACAGACAGCAGGTGCAGGTACAGGGCACTTCACTATCCCTTACTTCTGCATACTTCTTTTCATTTACATTATATATGTCCTTGGAAGACACTGGTAACGTCATAATAAATTACTCGAGCTGGCAAAAAATTTCTCTGTTTCTGTTTGGCACAGCAGATATTTGATGGTTCTTAAGAGACTCTGGCTTTTCTCAGATTACTTATTCCTGCTAGACAGTAAAAATAATGAAAAAATATGCTTAATGACAAAATATGCCTAATGCCTACTACAATAAAACATAACCCAAAAATTCCATAGGAATTTGTCACTATACAAGTCCTGATGATTTTACCCTTGAGATGTTTGAATCCTTCTCTGCTGAGTAACAGATCTCAAAAGAACTGTTGGACACTGTATAGTAAACTAGTGAAATCCAGGGTGGGGGAAAGGAGCTGAGGGAGAATTTTTTCTTAACTAGAGGACTGTTTCTCAGCTCTATTTTAAGTTTCTCAAGATATTCTTTCTCCTGTATGGGATGTGTGTGATGGTATTTACTTGACATACTCACTGAAAACATTCATAGTTTTTGAATGAGTTGCCTTAAAATAAAATGCTGAGTTCAGTGACACACAGTCCTAAAATATCAGGCTGGTTGGTTTATAGAAATCTTTATATAAAAAGTGGAATAGGGCACTGATGAAAAAAATCTATTATCCATAAAATCTGACCCTGTTCCATTGCACTGCCTCAAACTGATAGAAAACTGGCATAATATAGCTAAAGGAAATTTGTCTTTTGTTCTCATTTTGGAATGCATAAAAAAGCAACCTGTAACCACCCTGTTCGTGTGCAGTGCATCTGAGCTGTGCCTTTGGCCCACACTTGGTCTGCAAATGTTGTGAACAGATACCATGGGAAATCACCAGAAGAGAACAAACACCACACTAGAACATACAACTGGCAAATTTAAAATGTCTGTATCAGGGGAATACCACGACCAACTCTGAGTACTTCCCTTCCAGAATAGCTGGAATTTGCCATGAAATTTCTGTGTCACAACAAAAGAACTTAGAAGAAGCAGTACAGAAATTATGCAAAACCAAATCATTCCAGGTTCATAGAAGAAGGATAAATGTTTTATTACACATAGTACTAGTGACAAGAAAAAAAAAAACAGAGGCAGATGAGTTCAGTATGAAGAACCAGGAGAAGTCCACAACAAAACCTATCCATGCAGATGTCATCTCTTCAACTATGATATGACACAGCTAAACGCTGGAGAGGGAGACGGATCACACTCTAAGGGGCCAAGAGAAGGCAGTGCAGACTGGGTTTGAGAAAGTTCTCAAAATATAAACCAGTACCTACTAATTCCCCTATGTCATAGTATTGTCATTCTTGAAAATAATCTATTGAAAAGCACAGAATATGATGGTAAAAAGTAATATTTTTGTTTTATTTTTCAACTCTCACTCTCCTTGGAGTTGGCAGGTGCATGAAGGGCTGAGAAACAGGGGAAGTGCACACCCAGGCTGCACTGCCCCAGTGATATCAGAGACTAAAGCTGGGGAGAGAAGGAGGTGCACATCCAAGCTACCTTACCCGTTGGCACCAGATGTTCCAAATTAACTCCATGTCACCAGGGGATAAAGGTGGGAGTGAGGCTGGTGCACAGCCAAATAGGGTAGGACTTTTACAGCTGTGTAAGTCTCACTGCCCACTGGATAACATACAACTGTTCATATACTCTTCAAAAAGCAGGAAGGGAAAGCTGTAAGGACCTTGTGCCACGAGGGAAGGAGAGAAGGGAAGCTGTAAAGTCCTGTATCATAACTGAGAATAGGAAGAGAGGCAACAGGAGAGGAGCTAGGCAAGGTACTGTCTCTCCACTTCACAATAAGTTGCCTTGTCTTTAAGTAAAGAACTCCTTCACAGTCCTTCCAATGCAGAAAATTCTCCTGAGAGGACTGAGTTAGGAAGATTAAGAAGAGTGGGTTTGCATTTACAAACACAGAAGTCAAAGCACTACCACTGCAGAATACAAAGAAAAAAAGGAAGAAAGGAAAAAAGGAACTGCCCTCCCACAAAAAAAAGAAAAGACCCCCCCCCACCACAATAAGAAAAAACCCAAAGAAAAGACCCAAGCTTTCAAAGATTCAAGCCTCAAGTGAGAGATTAGCACTTTTCTTCTAACATTAGAAGTTATTCCTGATTCTCTTGAACTGAGTGGATGAAGGGAGTAAATTAAGCACCATCCTGCAGCCTTTGGTCCTGTAAATGAAAATATGGTGCTACCACAGAATGAGTTTAGGGGAGATCACTTTACCTGCTGGAGAATGAAGGTTTTCATAGCAGCGGCGGTGAAGGGGCCACAAGAAAGTAAAGCACAAGTACACAGCAGTAACTCAAATTCCAGAGGGAAAGCCTTACATTTCCTCACTTACTTAAGTTTACACTTTCATTTGTGGGACACAATTCCTGAACTGCTTGCATCCTGCTCTGAAACCACAAGTCCAACTGTGATCAATGCTGTCATCTAAATCCAGCATTAACACAAACAGACATTTAATTTCCTCCTGTGCTAATTTGGAGCACTCATGCTTGGTAAAATCAAAATCTTGTATTGAAGTACTTCCCTTCAGACTGGAGTATGCACACTTACCAGCCTCTACCTTTCTCAGAGCATCTACTACTTCAATATGCTCCTACTATAATAAATCTGATGGCAAGGTTTACAACGTTTGACACTAAATAACTTCATTCTTAAAAAGTCCAAGCAAGTTTTTGCTGAATGCTTTTAGTCTACTCTTACCAAACAGGTTCATTTATCTTGAACAGGACAGATTGTCATATCCTCTCACCTTTACAACAATTCAGAAAACAGCTCTGAAGTACACTCTAATCTTGGCATAAGAATGAAAATTTAGCTCCTCTGCAACATCCTCTCTTTGTTTTTTCTTCTCTCATATTAGCTGGGTGGGCAAGTTGTCAATCTTATTTGATGCATATAAACTGGTTCTTGTCTTTGACCTCAGTTTTGTGAGAGGCTATTTTTAACTCAAATGGTTTAATTTTTCAGTTTTTGCTTGTAGGTTTCAACTCTGTTTATTTTTAATTACTTCTTTAAATTACCCTTTTATAAGTTCCATATGACAATTCTAGCTCTTGCAATAGGTCCTTGATTACAAAATCTTTTGTAAAAAAATAAGAAGTTCTTTTTCTTACATTTATCAGACATTATTTAGGGGCGAAATGCTCTGTTACAGAGTCGCCAATGTAGATTAACTAGAAATAACCAGGTCAAACACTGTCTTTCTTCTTGTCCAATATAAATAAACTATTAAAAGAATTACTTTGCATAAAACCTCAAAAAATGATCCAAAATTAATTTCTGATCCAAATAATTTCTTTTAAGTAAAGATTTCAGAAGCTAGAGTCATTCTTTAAGCTAATTTTATGGCTTCTGAATTACTTCTCTTTGTAAAATCCATCAATAATCTTTTACTGACTTAAGAAATTTCTGTAAGTAATAAAATGAATCGTGTCCATCAGGGTAAAAACATGGTATCAAAGGAACAGAAATTGAACAGAACTTATGAATATTTAAGCTATTAGAAAATATTTGTGGTTTAAATATATAGATCTGATCATATGAACCATGAACAACATCTTCAAAAAATGGAAAAAAAATGTTCACTAATTAAAATCTGAAACACCTGGGAGATTTATGGTAAACAACAAGCAAACTGCAACAGTCAGAAGGGTTTTATCACTTAGAACTTCGTGTCACCCAAAGGAGACAACACATTGTCATGGACAATGACATTAATTTCAAAAATATAATGTTAATAGTCTTCTATAATTAAAGGGAGAACCCCTCAGCCAGAACATTCTGTTCAAAGTACCAAAGAACAGTGAGAATCTTGGTAATGGGAGCTGCTGATTCAGATTCTGATTAATGGCCAAAGTATGTATGCTGATCTACTATGGAATATTGACAATTTCAGCTTCTTTTTGTATGTTTCATACACACTCTTAAAACCTAAAGAAATGTCTCAAAGAAGGCTGGAAGAATGAACCAATTTGAGTTTCAAGAGAAGTATGTGGATCACCCTTCCAGAGAGCTGCATCTGAAGTCACTCATATTTTTCAGACCCTAGTTAAGGATATTGTGACTGACACTAACATTGAAGAGTAACCTGAAATTTTGCCCAGCCTCTGGTGTAGGCAGATATGCAATAGCAACAACTGACCAAAATAGCATAAACTCTCTGTTCTCCTTAACCTTTAGTTTTCCACTCATGCTCTAAAATAAAAATCACAGGATAAATAAAATACACCTGACAAAACAGCTTCTGCTCCATTCAACAAAAATTTAACTACACCTAGAGCAAAAAGAAAGCTTTGCAATTAATAGTAATTCTTTGCAATGAAAGCATGGTGTGTTGAGAAAGATCAGCTTTAAATCCTGCTTTAAAAATGTGGCTTCTCAGATGAAAAAGGAACACACCAAAGAAAATCCACACATAAATCCACATCTGGTTTTTGTTATTTCAGAAGACTCAGGACCTTTTTTCTGTCTAATAATAAAAAGTGCCAAGTTCACAAATCTCAATATGATAAAAATCAATGTGCAGATTTTTATGTCAAGTCACCCATCTCTCAGGCAACTCTTATATGCAATCTACACTCTCTCCCATCTCTGAAATTGCAGTGCAACTCTGAATCTGAAGACTGGAAATTTGAGTTACTGCCATGTGAGTACAGACCTAATATCAAAATAATGTAATTACCAAATTCCTCCAGGACAAAGACTCCTCGCACAGTATTGCACTTTTTAATGTGATTCAGCTCTATGAAAACCTACAAAAACAGGAGGAAAAGTAGCATAAAATTAGTTGGGTTTGGAGATTTTTTTAAAATCAAAAATCAAAATTAAACAAAAACATCATCACAACAGATACAACCTGAAGTTTTATAGCATACACTACCAGTTCATTTACAGTTTAATATATAAATAAAGGGTGAAATAAATATTCAGAAGACAAACTTGCCACAATGCTAGAAATCAACAAAAAACTTAAAAGTGCTAAGAAGCGAAGACAGCAGAAGATGAAATACCTTCCGCTCCTTGCAGGAGGAGAAAGCATGGAAGAGAAACGAAGGAGTTAGTAACTCTGACATATCCAACATTGCTACCCCTTCAGGCACTCAAATGAGTTATTGCAAAAAGAATACCAACACACCTGAAATACACCAAAAGAGGGGGACGAGAATAAAGCTGGCTCCCAAATTTGGCACTGTTTGTAGCCTCTGATCCATCCCAGGTAGTTTCTGCCCCTCCATGCATCCTCCTCCAGCACAGAGGGCAGGTAAGGGGCACTATACTTCCCACCCTGATACTGATCCTCCTAACCTACCACATAGACATTGAATCCAATGAGGAACCACCAACCTTTCTTCTCTCTGACAGTTCTGCCATGTAAGATTTTACTAGAGTTTATGACAAATAATCTTCAGAGTTACTCTTAGAACCATCTCCTTTTAACAGTCAGGACCAGTTTTCTGCTTTAAGCAGGATGGGGGAGTTTGGATCCGTCTCTATGGTTTACTCACTTGACATATGGCTCTGCCAGTTGAGCAAGTCATTTGGAAAACAAACCTGCCTTAAAGTCATGTTTTACATACATGAATCCCAAAAGACAAAAGCAGTTGAACTACTTGACGAGGTTTTCCAGTCCAGAATGTAGATGCCAAGATTGCATGAATAAACAAGTTCTCTTTGCATAATGAGTTTAACATCCAATCTAGCTGAAGATACAAAACAGCCCCTTCTTATGTGCACAACTCCAGAAGGGTCAAAGTCAGTACACAGACTTAAGAAGCTGTAGCAAGTGCTATAAGGACTCTAATCCATGTCCCAGTTTCTAGTAGACTTGCTTTTCAAGGCAAGAGAAACACTAAGAGTAACATTGCCCTAATATTCGGAGTGTCTATGCCAAACACCTTAGAGAGGTCCTTGCAAAACTGTATTACAATAGTGTGTTTTCATACTTTGAGTGCCTACACCTTTAGGACACCATGATCTCAGGGTTTCTTTCTTTAAATTGGTACTGGAGAAACTTAACTGTCTTGGAAAGAAGGGAAAGGAAAACTCTGCAACCCTCTTGAATCCATATTAGCAACACCAATGTAGTCATGCATGATATACTACGTATGAAAGACAAAGGATGTCAACACTAGAAATTATTGTGGGGTTTTTTGAAGAGACTTATCTGTATCAAGAGAGATCAGTAAATGCACCGTACATCTGAGATAAGACATCCTGATTTTCAAGTCAAAGGAATTTTATTATTATTTTTATTGGCAGAGAACTAACCAGCAGACCTGAGATATTTTTTGTTCAACATAAAACCCCAAAAATTCCACTTAACATAACAAAAAAAAAAAATCTTGCTTTCTGCTTATGTTCAAGCACTCAAGGGAAAGGAGACTTAATCCCATCTTTTTATTATTTGCCTGTTTTCATTCATGTTTTATATCAGTTTACTTGGTCAAAAACATTTTATTTTTTGAGGTATACTTACAGAATAAACAAATCAATAACAGAATACTTTCTTTACTGCACTCAGTTCTGTTTTTCTGTAATCATTTCTGTGAAAAGTTTTTGCTAATAGTCTGAAGTACAAAAATTCAGAACCTCAACAGAAAGACTCAGACAAAACACTGGTCATTTTATTTGGGAAGAGTGCCTAAGAGACTTGACTGCCCCAGGTGCTCATGATCTGAGTTAATGTTACAGAGTGCTGCATTTCCACAAGACCTATGAGCAAGATGAAAATTTATCAAGTTTGTCACAATTACAATCCATTTTCAGAAGATATGAGTTAAAGGGCAATTTCTTGCTCTATTGTTTAAGGGACAGAGGAGATGCTCTCCTCTCACTCCATCAGAAAACACGCATAAAGGAAATAGCAGTTACTTACCCTAGGGAAACTGTGGTTCCTCAAGACAGAGCATTCAGTGTGGATCCTACTGTAGATGGGCATGTGCTTTACGCATCTTATTAAGCTTCCATCTCTTTTTGACACAGATGGATTTGTAATGGGCACAGGCTACTGAGTCCCAATATTACAACAGAATGTGTAGATGTGAACTCAGAATTATCTGCCAATACCACAGGTATACTTGACTCCTCCCTACTCTAAAGAACATCCTCTGACCTGCTAGGCACAAAGAGACTTCAGCATTTTTTATTCTTAAACTTATATGTTGAGATGTGTTGAGACAATCTGTGAACACTAAAGGCAACTCCCACAGGTCAATAACAGGTTGTCCCACCATGCATCTGAGACATTTCCTAAGGTACTCACAAGACACTAAGAAAGTACACACACTGCAAACCAAGAGCCTTCAAAAACAGCTTCATAACAGCCAGCTTCACACTGAAGCAGTATGTTCAGTCTTTTCAGGTAGGCTCCATTTATACTTTTCTTTTAAAAAGTGGAAACCCCTCTTCTTCCTATGTTCTAAATTAATGTTATGATGTCCAATCAAACTGAGCAATAGAAATTCCTTATACTAGTAAGCCACAATACTGAAAAGAATACTTGAAAACATAGCCAAGAACAGGGCCTTCATACTAAGTAAGGAGAGGAAGATGAAGAGAAAGCTGGGCCTGATGAGATCCTGTAGGCTTTTGTTGGCCAGTATCCCCATTCAAACTCAACAGAAATAGAAAATGCTATTTTCAACACCAAAAAATGGCTGTGGGATCGTGGTTATAATGATGCTTTTATAAATATTCTGAAATCAACCACCTTAGGGAGCAATTCACACAATGTATACAAGAAATGAAAAGAAAAAAACATCCAGAATAGCACACCTTTTATTAAGAAAACAGACTGGTTGATGAGTGTCAGAATAAGAATGCCAACATCCTTTAGCTCCAAAGATTATGAAACTGGAGGGAATTTTTTTTGCATGGTGCAACTAGTAGGAGTCACTAGTAGGAATCCTTTATGTAACTGCTACAGTTGTCCATTCTACAGAAACCCTCAAATGACACACATTTGATATCTGTCTAGACACTTTGCTTTGAGAAGGAAAACAAGAATATATATCTTAGATCCCCTAAATGGCACTGAATGCCCTGGTCAGCTGGCAATATAATCTAACAGACCAAGAATTAAACACATTGAATAAGTGCAGTGTATTTTCCAGAACTGCACTTGTTTCAATATCCATCTCAAGTAATGGCAACTCGTCTGGCTACAGCTTCATTGGAAAGGTGATGAAGGGAAGGAATAATCCTTCAGGTGAGGGAGATTGCTGCCATATGTCCTGGATCTGACCTGCACAGATGCTTTTCCAGAAAAAAGATAGGAATCTTCATGACAGACAGCAAATTAGAACACCATTCTCTCTAAAGAAGGATGTGGTAAAGCTGGTATTCTCTGAGTTCTGGTAGTAGCACAGGTCTCAGTATCTGTTGTACAAAATTAAAGTAATGCTCTGCAAAGTCCCACACTAAAAATCAATACAAGGTTTCCCTAAAGTTTCTTTCTGAATGTCCTTTCAGTCTTTTAGGGAAGAAAAAAAAATAAAAAAAGCTTGAACCTGGAGTTTTTCTTTTGCACAGATACATGTGTGCCCACTATGTGCTTAACACTGAGTGTCATCTTGTGAAGATGCCTGCTGCACTTAGGAAGCCATGCTGCTGCTGACGTGGCTGTCTTTTCATACATCTTTTCTCACTGCAAATGTGAAAGTGCCTGCCTTTTCATTTATGAAATGGAGTCATCTCCATAGAGATGAGCATTTGTTTGAGCAGAACTTTTTTGGCTTCTGGGCAAAGCAGCAAACAGAACATTCCTATTTTGTGTCCTTACTTTAGGACAAAGTAATTTCTATTATATCCATCTATAAGGATATCCAACTGTTGCTTTGAGACCAGGCTTTAATTTTCAAAGGCTTTAGACCTGAATTTTCATAGTTCTTGAAAATGGGATTCTGTACAACCAATAACTTCCTCTTATAGTTCTTTGTGGTTCAGCACACCCAATGAAAAGATAAAAGCTGTAATTTAGTCAAGTGAAGTGTTCCATCACAGAGTAGGTCTGAAACTCTATAGCAAGCTGGACATAATCCAGGTTCTACCCTCGTAAGAGACTGCAAGGAAAATGAGGGAGGTTCACAACTCTCCATTCCTTACACTGGCACATATGAACTCAAAGTGGCACATGGTGCTGCTGTGACCTTGGGACAAGTATTAAAGATTCTGAGCATGTGTGTTTGAGATGCATGTGTACTTCCAGTGGGATCTACACTGATGTATCCTCAAAGAAAAACAAAACTTGTGTGGGGAGAAAAGTCTAGTCAGGAGGAAAGGAAAAAGCACTCCACAGAGAACTGACAGAAGCTTTTCTTTCTCTCTCTCTCACACACACACACAAAAACACACAGTCTCCCTTCTCCCTTCAAATTGATTCTACTGTCTAGCATAGCATGCATTAAATATATGCAAAACAAAAAAAACAAAGCAAAATAAAAAACAAGGATCAAAGGAAGCAACAGAAACAACATCCAGAGAAAGGAAGAAATGACAGTTCTACTTGTGTTTCCTCTATGCCCACAATATCTGCTATTTGGAAGGAAAAAGGAATCAGTACTTTTTTCTTATTTTTGTGAATTACATCAAGAGCCACTTTCCTATTTCATTTTCATACAAACTTGTACAGATAATTTCTAAAATTTTAAATACAATAGATTAAATATAATGCAGAAGATTGCCTTCTGTACCTGCAAAATTCAAATACTGTATCTTTAAGGCTGACTGCTTATGTAATGAGGATTTGTTCACAGTGTGATGCATTACAGCAGCTTAGATTATTATTGATCACTTTTTCTATCCCTTAATACAGGTTAACATTTGTTTCATGCTTAGACAATTCAGACTACAAGAAACAAAAAGCTGAAAGATGTATCAACATCTTTCTTTAACAGATTATAATTTTCCTGATATTTAATTTCAGTGTGTTTTTACATATATATATATATATATAGATACATGCTTGTGGGTTTGAGTGTAAATATATCTAAGTTTTTTTACCCACATCAAGCTATCCCCTGTCCTTATTGATACTCTGGGAAGAGGAAACACCTATATAGGCGTGCTGCAAAAAGCTTCATGCTCAGTCTTCTCATAGATTTCCCTCATACCTGACTGTGCATAAATTTCAGGTTAATTCCTTCCAGTGTGACCTGAAGAAGACCTCCTTCACCGGTTTTCATATCCTGCACAGGGAACTCACCACCCAGCTCAGGGCCTGTGATGTTATGATGTTAATAAAGGAAAAAAAAACAAACAAAAAAACAAAAACAATAAGCCAAAACAAAAATCCAGAGAGAGAGAGAGTGCAGAAAGCAATTAGCCAAGTCATGGTATGTGGAAAGGGAATATAAAATAATAAAACCACAATTCCTATTGATCTGCATAGCAAAAAGACACACTAAACTAAACATAGTAGAGACCATTTCAGTGAGTCCACTCACTGCTTTCTGAGAAACACTAGAATTTTAAATATTGTAAGAAATTTCATTCTGGTAACATGAAGAAACATCAATGTCAGTACATCCTGTATTTATTGTACATCATATTGAGGTATTGTTTGTTTGCTTTAAATGCCACATGTCATTTCTCCACAGTAAGGGCCTGCAATCACATAATACCATAGAGAGCACAGTCTTAAGTACAGACACATAAGCAGCACAAAGGAGGTTTGTATTTGTGAGCTGCATTGCATGGTATTGTTTTAAGCAATTCAAACATCAAAATATGATTAAAATAATAATTTAATAGAGAATATTAATAGGTGAATAATCTAGATATTTTCATCTAGGTTTTTTTTGCATTATTCAGTTCAGTTAAAAAGTGCGTTTTTAATACTAAATACATTTTTAATACTAAATTATTGCCCAATTCTTAAAATATCTTTCAAATACGCTCTTGCTAAAGACAACAAACTGCTACTTGCACATGGATGCCCAGAGTTACTCCAAGAATTCCAAATAGAAGGAGATTGTGTTCAAAGGAGTTATTAATCAAAAGAATTGCTGATTGCAGATTAAACAGGAAATGTTCCCAACATTTAAAATCTTGTACCTGGTTTAATGCTTTGCTGCCTTGCTGCTGCTCGCTCCATGCTGTCTTTTACACAGTAGTACAGTTCCCGACACTAACAGATAGAAGAAGAGTAATACAATGTTATTTCTCCAAATTACTAAGGGAGGGAAAACAACAGCAAGATTCTAAGATTCTACAACGAGAACAAGGCCCATGTGGTGCCCAATGACCAAAAGCCTATTCAAGCTCAATCACACCTAATTACTAGTTAGTATTTATATTTGTTTTACAAGATGATATAGAAACTATTTCATAACATTTAACCACACAAGCTAGTGAAGAGTTCATGTCTTGGCACATTCTAACCAAGCCTATGCAGTTTCTCACTGTAGAAAAAGCATCAAAATAATCCCTCCCTTTCTTTCAGTTTCCAGCAATCAATATTGCTAGTCATGCACATAATACCTATCTTTTTGTTATTCATATCAATCTCTTTATGGCATATTCTTCTCTTAATCTTCCTTCAACTCTGAGATTAAGCCATAAGATCAGAGCTAAATTTAGGAAAATTTTCCATCTATAGCCCAAGATATAGGACACAGAGACAGCTGAGCTACTCTTATAGTAGAAAGGAACAAATTTAATGCATGGACAAACCCATGGGAGTTAAGATCAATGGCTCAGCATCCAAGTGGAAACCAGTGACAAATGGTGTTCCTTGGGTGTCAGTACTGGGTCTGATGCTGTTTAACACCTTTGTCAGTGACATGGACAGTGGGACTATTGGAAGGTGTCCCATGGCAGTGGGGGGTTGAAAGTAAGTGATATTAAAGGTCCCCTCCAACCCAAGCCATTCGATGATTCTAAGATCAAAAATTATACAATTAACTCTTAGGGCATAGTTTTATATTCTTTAATATTTTTACTATCTTCACAAGCCTGCAAGCTCACAGAATATTTAGTAATACTGATGCTTTCCTTTTTCTAACACATTACATGTAATTTCTTGAATTACTTTCTGGTGGACAACTGCCTTCAAGTAAATGACTTCAGATGTCAGTGCTGCTAAGCAGCCATTGCAGCTCAGTAACCAGTGCTGGAAAGAGAGTGCTATTTTTTGATTAAACATGGAATATGACACACAAAGGACTTGGCTTTTTCTGTGCAGTTATTGCTGCAGTATTGTGTACATTAAACAAGATACAAACCTTCTTTGTGTAGAACTTGTTCAGTTGTGTCTCCTGACCATTCCTGCGCCAGAGGCAGAGCACTTTTGTTTTGGGACAGTAAGTCATGTTGATGAGTTTCTCATACCACCAACGTTCATACACAGTTCCAATGTTGCTTCTCAGCACAATACAATCATCACATACCTGGGAGCACAAAATATTACGTAAGATTTTTAATGCTATTTCTCTTTATTTCTTCTGCTACTAGTTGCATTAGCATTATTCTTGTCTCTACCTCCATGAAAAATATGTCTCCTGTTGTGTCTGTCCCAGCATGTACTACAAAAGTCTGCTTCTTGATGTGGCGGCTGCCACTGGGTCTCACAGGCAGTTCCCGTCCATTCTAGAAAAAAACCCACATGTAACCATTAATGAACTTTGAAAAAAAAAAAATCCATTAGTTGACAGGAAAGAAAGAATAATTTCTAACAATATTTAATAAGCTGATTGGGGACCATTTTGGACAAAGAAATAAGTAAGATATTCCAGTAAGTTTCGTTTCAACAAGTGTGACTGTGAGAGTTATCACAGCACGTAACATTCACGTGGTACCATACTCAGTATGGGAAAGTGAGGTGTCTGAGTTCTGGTATCACTGCAGTAAACTGGTCTGATTTTTCCCAATTAATTATAATAATTTTGTGTCTTTTCTGTGCAGAAATGTAAGTTCCAAATGTAGAAATTACCTTTAAAAGAGCCTAACTTGTGTTCACCCTGGTGATGGTTGTGTTAAAAACTGGCTAGATTTACTAACTGAAGCTCTAACCTATATTCTTACTGATCATTACAGGACATCAGGTTTATTCTGTATGAATACTGGAAACAGTTTTGTACAGAAACTGATTGCTACAAGTCTTACAGCAGCTTGGAAACTGATAGAAAACTGAATACTTCTTACAGTCATAGTAATCATAAAGGCTCCTGCCAACAGAAGTTATTAAGAAAACATTAATGCTGCACAGAACTGTGGTATATAAGTGTCATGTTTATACATATTTGTATTGCAGCTCTAACTGATAACTGTGTAATATTAAAACATTATAAACAAGGTCATATATTCACAGTCTTTATTCTATGTGAAGAGTAGCATTTAAAAATTCAATTATTTTTAATATTTTTAAATTAGGGTTGCAGAGAATATATGTAAGATTTTTCAGGCAATTTATTTCTTCCACTGTAGGTCCCAGAGGTCTATCACTTAGCACTATTTTACTTACCAGATTGGCAAGTTTGTCTAGAATATCATTTATTTGCTGGCTGTGCACCAATCCAATATGTGATTTTCCCATTAGACGACGCACCTTTTTCCTAATATCATTCTTGTTCACCTAGAAAGCAGATATACAGACAGTTGCATACCCTTCTCTGTTCACAGGAGGCAACTCCAATCTCCCAAACATATCTTGGTTTCCATTGCTAAGAAGCAAAACAACTGATCTCTAGTTCACTCACGCTAGGGCCTCTTTACTCAGCAGTACAGGAGCAAGTTGCACATATCCTGCTTTCTCCAGCTACTGTGCAAGTGATGCCCTACACAGCAGATTTCCTGCCTGCACACAAGCTGCAGTTCCACTGCCCACCACTTCCAACTTTTGACGTCAAAAGCCTCAGTTCTCCATGTTACCAGTTCTGAGTCTCACTGGCCAGACCAGCTTCTCCACCTCTTCCTCAGCCAAACTCCATTTAGGCAGCTGTGGAGCCCTCAACACAACATTGCATCTTTCAGAGTTCTCCTTTCACCATGTGTTTCCTGGTCACTAGGCTGTGGCTCTAACAAACACTCTCAGCCCATCTTCCAACAGCAAAAGGTTCCTCCTGAAGATGAGCTGCAGGCAAGCTCAGAAGCAATGTATTTCTGCCTCTGCTGCCATTTCAGAAGGCTACCATGAATGCCAGCCACTGATACTAAAGGCTTCAAAGACAGTACACTCATGCTTGAGTGCTGATTTCAAGCTGGATCAAACACTTGTTCTTAATAAATTTGCATTATGACCTTAATGTTGTGGAGTATACAAAACAAGATCAATCTGCTTCCTTCCTTTGGCAAGAACTCTTTGTGCTTGAAAGAAAACATTGTATTTTTCAATATATTTTAGAATTAAAACCTACCATGCAAAATAAGAAAATAAATTCGAGTACCAAAGCAGTGGGTTTGCAGGATTATGCTTCTCTTGATAGTTCAAATAAACTCATCTCTCTAGTAACAGAAAGCCTTTCAACTTTGCAGTTTCTACTAAAAGCTGTCCTTGTTATCCACAGTTCTGAGTTTCATAAACAGAGATGTATGGTTTCAAGACAGCACCAATGAAATATAGTGCTTAAATCTGAGCAGCAATCTATTAAAAAGAACAAAAAGTCACCTTTATCATAAGCATATAAGCAATCATATTATGTAGCAGAGTAGCCAACAAGCGATCCTCATCATCCTCCAAACGCTTTCGATCGTGTTCTCCCAGGGAAAGATACCTGCAGGAAGAGCTACATCTGAAGCAGCCTCACAGACATTCTTCACCCACTTCACTAAAGCACTGGCAGAGGACACAGCACTGTTTGTGAAGTGTATGGCAAATACAACCTCTAAAAACACTAAGTCAAATGGGCATTTTCCAGTAAAACACTGTGATCAGTAGTTAAACATTTCCCTTAATTATTAACTAGTTGAAGCAAATAACATCTGCTCAGTGGGAAATTTGTTAGTGGTCTGCTGGGTTTATCAATTTCCTGTTCTCTGCAGTCACAGCTCCATGGCAATTACAACTGTCAGAAGAGGAACACATAACTCAGCACAAGAGCTATCCAGCATCAGAGCTTAAATACAGCTGCAAGGCAGAAGAAAGCTGATGAAGGAAGTGCACCAGGCACTCTCTTTTTCCAGTAAGGTAGGCAGTTTCTGGAATAATAGTTTTGAAACTAGCACCCTAAGCTAGTTCTTATTTTGGCTTCCAGATTTCATGTTTCATGATGGCATGGATGGGGGCAGTAGAGCTGTCAGTAGTAGACAAGAGCACAGAATGATCAACTGCTAACAGAGCTGGGGAGGAAGAGGAAGTTAGTCAAGATTGACATCTTAGCCAAGCCTTAGACAACCACATAGATATTTCTAGAGAGTGGTTTCCTCGTGGTTTTTTTTGTTTGTTTTAACTACAAGCTGTGAAAACACTTTTAAGTTACTTTGCATTTTGAGAAGGCTCAAAATGTAATTTCTGAAAATATTTAATTCTTTCACTTTACGTCAACACACTATTATTCCAGAATATAACCATACTGCCACAGAAATCTCTTGCTTTACTAATGATCTAGTCTATTCCATTTGTTCATATTGTTATTATGCTTACATTACCCATTTCTCTGGAAATAATCTCACCACAAGAGTTTAAAAATATGTAAGTCGAGACAAGTATTTCAGTATCAGGAGCTACTGACCAGCAGCAAGAGAAAAGGCTCTCTTTGGAACAGTCAGATATAGTAACTAAGTTTACAAAGTGACAATAGCATGTTAAGCAGAATTAAAATAATTTTTTCCCCACTATTTTTACTATTTCAGTCCGAGGTGAAACAACGAGGAGGAAAAAGGTCTACTGAAGAATTTACCTGTCAATCATCTCCTGAGGCCCCTGGTCCATCCCCATTCCTTCTCTCTCTAACATCACAGCATCCAAAAAAGCATCTTCCCAGAACTGCATCTGGTCCCACAAAGTTGAACGCTCTTTGCCTGTACAATGTACAAAAAAATTGAGCATTTATTCCATTTACTCCAATCAGCTACTTTACAGCTAATTCCTGTTCATTCCCACTCCTTGAAAATACCATAAACCATCACACAAGGAAACTATATTAAAATTTTTTTTAAAGTTACTTGTAAACTACAAGCAATGCCACAACTGAAGAAAAGTGTAAAAGAAAAGACAAGACAAACCTCTCATCTAATTAGTGACACAATTCTTTTAATACCTTACAATAAAGTACCTCTCATCTCTATTCTTTAAGGACTGTATCTTCTTCCACAAACTGTTAACACTGCCCAAAAGAGACAGGAATATCTCACACAGACACAGATCACAGCAAACACACAGAGAAGTGGAAAGATAAGATTATTACTCAGAGAAAAGGTTTCCATTGCAGCATCCTCTAACTGGTCCCAGACAGATCCTTTATCCCTACCTGCACCATTCCAAGCAGGTAGGAACGATAAATGGAAAGGATGAAAAACACAGGAAGAGAGAGACTTTGATTAACAGCAAGTCCAGACAAAATACAAAAAAGCCAATGTACTCCTAATTCAAGGATACAGTTGAAGCTCTTTAGAATTCTGGGTTTAGCCCTGTGTTCAGTGACTTAAGCTGAATGATCTTTTATCAAGATCAGTGATATATTTTAGATTTCCATACATAGCAAACTTCCTTCTTCTCTTCTTCACAGTTTCAAGGAATTCATACTCAAGAAGAGCAAGAGATTTGGACAGACTTCATTTTATGCAAACTACACCACCCACACCCATCTCCTCTTACACTTATTCAATTTCCCCAGCAAAACTTTGGCTTTACTCTGAATGGTCTGATGTGCCTTCCTATTCTACCAGCACAGACAACAGTTAGAGGTTAAAAACAGCGTCAGGGAAAGAGAAAATTCCAGTCTGTGCTAGACATGATTTCATCTGAACTTCAGCCTGAAAGATTCCCTCCCCACTAAAAACAGTAGCTTACCCAAAAGTCCTTCATACAGATAGACACGCTGGTTCCCATCCTCTGGGCCTCTCCCTGGAGTACTCCCTTTGCTATCCTTCACACTCTGCTTCAGGTTGTGAGACTTGGCCTGAAAATAATACAAGAGCTATTGGCAATTTAACTCTGCACGCTGCAGGGCTCTCTCTTGCACTGTTGGGTTTAACAGACACAGTCTGCAAGCTATTCTTCAAAAAAAGCTTCTCCTGCAAATATTCACATAACAGTTGTTTTGTTCGAAGAGCAGCATAATACACTTAAATATCCAGAGTCAGACAAAGAAAATTCAAAGAGAGACAAATAGAGAAATCAAAACACAGAGGAAGCACACTGCTTCCCTGAAGGAAAACTGAGGCAAAACAAAAATTCAAGCCCCAGAGTGAAGGAAAGAACCTCTTCTGTCATACCCTATATTTTACACTTATGCATTCATAAAGGTAGGACATTAAGCAAATAATTACATATCCTCTGGCCTGAAGAGTGAGAGTTGGGACAAACAGCCAGCAGGAACTGTGAAAACAAAGCAGGCTCATTTATTTCTCTACCACCAGGTAAACTATGGTGCAATATTTGAATCCATCACACATCATATACACCCATCATCTTTGTTCCAAATCTCTTGCAAAGGTTCTTAAAATTTTAGTTTCTGTTTAGTTCTATTCTATTTAATTTAGCAGAAAAACACAAAAAAGTCAATGTTAAAAGTCTAACTCTTCAGTAATGAGAGGACACGCTCTTGCAACAAAGGAAGCAGACATAGCTAAGTCATTTTCATGCTTTTTGTAGAAATCTGCCAGAAAACACAACGGTTTTGTTTCTTAACATTAGAAGTCCTATAACCGCTTTCACAATCTTACCATTATCATAAAATAATGAACACAGTGAGACAAATCTTAAGGCACTGCAAGCTGTTTTCTTATTTTGATGAGAGTTTGATTTAGCCAAATCAAGTGTATCATTATTTTCTTGGTAAGATGTATATTAGAGGTTATACACAATAATCAAGGACTTTCCAAAATGAAGTGCTCACAAATTATTTGGATTTTACTGCATACAGATCTTCCAACTAGGCAAATACATTTAAAAGTTATGAATACACTTCAAATAGGACTAAAGTAATACTTTAAAGAAACAGAACAGCTGCCAAAACTAAAAAGGATCACTCCTTCACTCTATCAAGCAGTTTCTCCTGAAGAAACAGGGAATTTTCCTCTTAATTAAGGACAAACAAGACCCACCAAATATTCATTTGGTTCAGAGAAATATTGCATTAATATTAAACATTACTGGAGTCTCTAAGGTGGTGTAGGATGTGGATCTACTACTTTCAAAAAACCATTTGCACAGGAAATGAAGAAGGGTATGTGGATCCAGACAAAATTACATCTTTGACATTGTAATATTGTAAGTCATTGCTGATTAACCCTTAGAACTGAATCAGAGATCCTCTTCCATATATGAACACATTGAAATATTACTGTACAAGATTTAAAAAAAATGAAGTCTGCAATGCCCTTACAAAGATAGAGCTAGTAGCAGAGTTGGTCTCAATTTCACTGTCTGACACAGTGCCTCTGGATCCTGCCAAATTGCCACCGTTTTCCACACTCGGGCCATCACCAGCATTGCTGCTCAAGTCACTGTCTGCTCCCAATGTTTCTCCAGAACTGTTACTAACCTGTGGAGAAAAATAAAGCAATTACCTTCAACAGATAATACATCAGAGAATTTGTTCTTATTTTTAACACATCAAACAATCTGCCTTTATGCACTCAGGTTACATTTTTAAACTTCTATTTTTTATAGATGGTTTATACACAACTAAGATATTTATAGAATTGTTGCAATCCACCAGTTCCATAAATACACCAGTATGTAGGAATATGTAACAGCAACAAGCACCATATATGAAGGCAGCAATCTGCTCACAGAGCAAGAACTGTGTATGTTCTGTCAGACACACATGCTTGCTACCCACTCAGAAGCTCTGAAGAGAACTCACAGAGGACATTATGTACGTGTGACACTTTGCTGCCACACCACACGAAATGCAGGCACAAACTGCCCTTCCCTGCTTTAACAAGCAGCCAATCACATCCAGATTTCACTCTGGGCATATCCTACCACAGTGCTGACTTCAGAATCCTGGCTTGTACTTCGGACCATAACTGTTGGTCCTCCACTGGGAATAGAGTCGAAATCACTCTTCTGCAAATAAAACATATAAGACAAGAAGAGTCACAATCGTTTTTACCATAAGGAGAGAACATCACTTCCCATTCTTTTGGGCTCTTGAATCACATGCCTTATGCTTCCTTAGCTTATTTAGCCAATCACATAGAAACTACTGTCTGAATGTCAAAAAGACCACCGTGTCCTGTAACTGAGTTTATAAAAACCAATGCCCTAAAGAAAGGGGTGAAGAAATTTTACCAAATGAGCCTCTCAAGAATACTCAAACCATAGAAGTCTTCCCATAATTAAGTAGTGAATAGAGTAATCCTGTCTCTTACCACATAAATAAAGCAAGCATAGCAGCCACTGACCTGAGAACCTGAGGCCAGACTGAGGCCACTGTCTGCACTGATTTGGGATTTCTTCTCATCTGTCTCTCCCAAATCAAATTGTTTCACACCTTCTGGTCCTGAACAAAGAAAAAAGTAAATAATTACTGTAACAAGAAAAAAAAGCATAGGAGAAAGCAGATGACAGACTGGAAGCAGGAACAGTACCAAGAAAATAGATTTGCTTTCTCACTTCTTTGATTTTTAATGCCTTTTTTATTATTCCTTGGTACTGAAAACAACAAGGCCAGCAGATCACATCTGCTAGTCTTCAAACATTTGTTTGAATTTCAAATACTCTGAAGTCCAGGAGTGACTATAATTAAACAGTACCTTTCTTAGCCATTCAAGAGAGATAAGAGGACAGACAACAGTCAAGTAGCTTCCAGTTACAATAAAACATGCAGAGCAGTTGACATTCAACTCTAGGAAGCCACTTCCTTTAATTCTTGGTAATAAAAAAGAATACCTATTTACTTAAAACTCAGGATCCTTTTTTGAAAAGCTAAATTGCTCAATTTCCTGGACTGAGTTTTTTTGGTTGCCCACTGCAACTATCTAGGTAAAAATCAGGCAACGTATAACAAGAAAATAACAGTAACAATTGGTGTTACCCAGCGAGATTTTCAAAGACTAAGCTTGTATGATGCTGTACTTCACAACATTCCCCAATTACATCAACAAATGGCTCTCCAGAGTTGGCAATCACACAGGTAGGAGAGAGAGAGGGAATCAGCAAGCTTTTAAGTCATGCATTTATTAACCCAAAGATCCAAAAAACAAAAGAGGAAAAGAAAGGATAAAGAACTTTATGTTCATTTTCCCATGCACTTCTAGAATCATATAATCTATTGCCCTCAGATGGGATGGCAGAGGGAAAAGAATGATGGAGAGGCCTGAAAAGAAATTTGGATAAGCACTGAATGAAGTAAATAAGAAAGCAAGAAAAGAGTGTGTTATAGGCTGTACACAGAATGTTAATATTCCCCAAAAGGGGAAGAGACTGGATGCAATACTTCTGCCATAGCCATATCTGCCAACTATTCAGTAACAGGAAGACATGATCAGCTGCTGGAATATTTGTATTATATACCCATGTCTATAGCCAGTATCTCTAAGCAAACAATGCCACTATCTCTGTAAACACTGATTGCAATAACCTGGGAATTATGAACATGTTTGTATTATATGTAATATTAGAGAGAATAAGACAGTGAAAAGGAAAGAAAAAGGGAAGGGAGGAGAGAGAGAGAGAGAGAAGGATAATATACAAAAATTTGTGGGAGTGAGTTTGAGATGATATGTAAACTCATGAATAGCAAAGCCATAAGTGGGCTGTGCAGACCATACTAGCTTACTACTCAACCACCAATTCTTCCTGTGAAATGTTTACAGAAAGTATTCTGCATTTGTTATAGTATTTTGTCTCTAAATCCAAATGCCTTAGTTACTGTAAATCAATGCCTCAAAGACTCTTTCAAAAAAGAGAAAGCATAAACAAAATTTACTAAGAAAAGTAACTAAAAATATCTTTTCTAACTATTTGAAATATTATTTTCCACTGAAACACACATAGCTCACTTCTAGAGGTCTATTTCCACTCATTCAAGTGGTAATCATTTCTAGTTCTGATACAGCAAGAAGTTTTACATCTCACTACTACAGCAATAACACTATATTTCAGCTGTGTTTTAAGCAATTTAGGAGTTTCCTGTCCCAGCATATAATTCAGATATATTTCTGGCAGTTTGGCTTTTAAAGGAATTGAAATTGACTGAAGCAGTTCAGATATCTGAGGGCTGCAACTGAGTGTAAGGAGCACAATGGCCACAATTACATTGTTGTCACTGACAAGTTACAGGCACTTACAAACATCCCTTTCCCTTCTTTATGGAGTAGTATGTCTAACACACATGGAACACTAAAACCTCAATCTATCCCTCCCAGTGCAGGCACCTACCTGAAAGGCTCAGTTTGGGAGAGCAGGTGTGTGCATGTGCTATGTGTTTTTCTCACACACTCCTTCCCCAGCAGAGAGCAACTCAAAATTTAAGTACAGGAAGCTGCACTGCAGAGGTGCCCCATTCACCCCAATCTCTCTGAACTAACTCCACATGCTAATTTGAACTTAACAGAAGTATTTAACTGAGGCACCAAAAACTAATGTAAGCAAACCCAGGCCTAGTCAGAATGTTAGCAATCTTCACTCATTCATCTCAGCTATTAACCCTTCCCAAAGTTCACTCTGTAAAATAGGCAGCATCAGCTCTGCAAAGCACAGACTAAGCTTATGGTTAGGAAACACCTACCACAACATGGCTGTTATAAACTGGCTCCTGTCCTTATGTCGTATGTCCCTATTTACAACAGTGACAACCAAAGAGCAAAACTTGGTATTGCACCTGCAGAGCATACATATTCAATATTTTATTCATTATCATGTTCAGATTTGTGTAGATTTAGACTATTATTTAGACTCTGCAACAGCCCCAAACTATTTCACTCCTTCTTTACCACGGGACATGAAAAGCAAAATCAGGTTGATTCGTTATTATGAGGCTATTTTCTAGAAGTCATCACTAAACACAATTCTTCACATACACCTTCTCTCTCCCCCTCAGAAATATTTCTTGTTGCAGACTGACTGCTCATGGTTGATGCCAGTTAACAACATTTGCCATCCCACAGCTTGAACAAACAGGAATTCTTCATTCCAGTAACATTTAATCAATCCATATATCCACTTCAACAACTTGTTCAATAAGTTTTAGCCTTTAAGGAAGGAGATGGAGCATCTTAAAATTCTTCCACATTTATCTGATTGGTGAGGATGCAGAACACCTGCTTCCTCTTCTTTGAAGGTAACATTCAGGGGAGGAAAAAAAAAAAAGGGAAAAAAAAAAGGAAGAGATATTTCAACATAATTTCCTCAAGGCAAACAGCTCCTGTTTGGTCTCTTTAATGGAGACTTTCTTGATAGATTTTGTTCTTGTGAGTATAAAACCTGTGTGCCATAGATGCAAGCTCGCCCTGCACCTGGGGAGTTGGCAGTTATGGGGAGGCTGGAGGAGTCAGTTTCTACATTTCTTTCAATTTCCTTACTCGTTTTTTCCAAAGACTTTTGCTTTTTCACTTCCTGGTGCTTGTTCCACAATTCTACCCAAGATGCATTGAAAGCAGGAAAGAAAGAGAAAGAGTCAGCGACTGGTCAGACAGGTGAATAAGGGGACAAAAAATTTCAAACAAAAACCCCACCCCTTCACCTCAAAAAAAGAAAAAGAAAAAAAAAAGAAGAAAAAAAGAAAAAAAACAAGGCGGAATTTAATGACAACTACTGAGTGAAGGGTTAATTAACATCATTTTAAAAGAAATCAATATTAGGTATTGAGCACTGCATCATCTCTTAGTAACAGTATTCACACATTAGAGATGACTTCATACAGCTGTGGTGGTGCATCCCCCCTCCCCTCCTCAGACCACACTTTTACAGCAGTGAATCAACTAAGGAAAACCAGCTCTTATGAACAAATAATCACCTTTTCTAAGAAAGGGATTTAAGACTGTCAGAAATTTACTCCTCTAAAACATAGGCATCACAGAAGCTCTAATTAACAGAAACATTTTAATGTCTCTAGTTTATACACTGAAAGGAGAAAGACACAAAAACAGCAGCAGCAATTCCAAAAATATTAAGTGTAGGTTAACACAGCATTTAATCAATATTATATCTTACATATTATGACAAAGTTTACAAGTTATTTTTGACCTGACAACATTCTCAATAAATGCCTGGCTCTGCCCATGAACATGTCCTACATGCAAAGAGCTGAACTCCTCTGCATCCACTTGCTCCTGTCAGGGTATAGAGAACAGAAAATGGCAAAGAACTAAAATGAGCAAGATATCAGATGTGCTTCACTCCAGCTTCCAAAACTCAAAGTCACAGCACTGTAATCAAGTCAGCGAATTCCATAACAGAACATACAATGCATAGACCAGCAAAAGAGTGTGAAGTTTTCTTAAAACTGAATTTGAAACTTATCCCTGCGACAAAACAGTGATGAGGCACTTGCACTTTTCTATCACTCATATTGTTCAACTCTCTGAAATGCAGTCACCTTTTTCTGCTCAGAAACATCAGATCATTCCAGGTGCTGGCCTCTTGGCCAAAGGAAACATTACAGGCTGACATGCTGAGCTGACTCTAAGTGTTAGGCACTGTCCTCTCTCACTAGCACCATTAAAGGTGGGGACACTACAGAGGAAGATCCTCTTAGAAAAGTGGCAAAGGGAAGGAAAAAGAAGTGAAATGTTCTTTTATTACTCTTTAAGAAAACTTCCTGAGCACCTGAAAGGTCACTTAAGTGTGTTAGAAACCCATTCCATCCTGCAAATAGCAGAAATAAGGGCAAGACAGGCTCTAAGTAAGTTCTATTGAGTAAAATGTCCACTGAAAAAAAAAATTTTAAAGGATAGGTTACAACTGTGGAGGAAGACTCCAAAGTACTATGGAAAAAAACATCAGGAGTGAAACAAATGCAACAAGGTAGAAAAAGGCAGAAAGATGGATTCTAGCCTACCAATTTCTAGATCTGCTTCATGATTGATGGATGTTCCTTCAACTTTCATAAATAGACAGATGGATAAGATAAAATTGCTGAGGGACCCAAACAGCGTCCTACAGGCTTATCAAGCTAAGCATACACTGCCACAGATAACAATCTCTAGGATGGATTGAATTTGTTTGTTGAAGGGCTTTGGAAACATCTGGCCTGTTCCGTGCTCAGTTTATATGGCTTTACTTTAAAAATCACCAGTCTGAAAGCTGCAACACCTGCCATTAACTTAATTGTAGCTGACTTGTCTTTTAATTTAGTGTAGAGTACATCCTAGCACATTAAAAACAGACTAGATTTTATCCTCAACTACTCAGTCAAGTAGAAAAGAAGAAAAACAAAACTTCAAATAAACTCACAGGGCATAAAATACTACACCTGTGTCTTTGTTATGTGACCTTGAACTAAAAAGGACAGCAGGTCCAAAAAGGACCTGATGTGGATGAAGTGTGTAGCACAATCTTTTCTGTTTAGAAAAACCAGCCAAAATAAAGTGATCTGACCAGATTAAACAATTATTTAAAAATTAGTAATGGAAACTTCAGTAAGTACTGACATTTTCATTAACAGTTATGGAAAGTATGCAATAAACCAAACTTATGACTAATATAAAGGGATAAATTAATTAACTATCAACATAAAAGCCACCAGAGTCCTAACAGAGAGACCTGCACTACAGATGATGGCCTACACAACAAGTGATGAACCCTGGAAGACAAGAACCCCAGAAGTAAGCAACTGGTGAGTATCAGAAGCATCATGTTCACACTGAATTTTCTAGGTAGGAATTAGGTACTAAAGCCCAGTCAAGATCAAAGCTCAGCTGGTAAAAATCCATCCCACTTCCCCTCAGAAACAGGAAACCCTGTGAATTTCATGGCCATTGTTCCTGTAGTACCAGAAAACTGCACAGATTCAGCTGCTATAGACTCAGCTCTAAATTGGAGATGCTGTTTAATCACTACACTGACATACACTTTACATATGGCTACTGCAAACAGAGCTGTTATTTTACTCCATCCTTCTGAAGACTTCTCATTCTAGTATTTCCTCCTGTATCTAGGTAAAAAGGTTAGCAGCCCAATTTGGATTTCATCTATACAATATCAAGAGATTAATTCAAAGTTTTATTTACATATCTGCAACCTGAGGCTGTAAGTACCTTCCAAACTTCACAGACTCAAGGAACTGCTGAAGTTCAAAGGGACCCATGGGCATCATCTAGTCTGACCTTTCTGCTTAAAGCAGGATCAACTAAAGCTGCCTGCCACAGGACCACATCCAGTCAGGTATTCACTTTTTCCTCAGATGGAGATTCCACCACCTTTTCAGGTGGACCCAACCTGTTCCAGTGTTGGATCATCTTCACACAAAAACCTCTTTTTTCCCATGTTTAAATGGTATTACTTACAAATACGTTGTTATTTCAGCAACATGTAAATGTTTACCAAATGCTCTTCCCTAAACAAATTATTTTGAATGAGAATATCTGCATTTCACAGCTAAGCTATGACTAACCCCAGCCCAGTATATCCAAAGCTGTCTTATTCTGAAGTTTCCATGACAGAATATAAAGGAAGTATAACAGGCAAGCAGCTTTAAATTATCTCTCTGCAACACAAGACAAACACCTTTAACTTCTAGATCACATGAGACAGACAAACATGAAGACTACAGTGTTTTTACAGAAATTTCCTAAAAAGTGACTTGCATACCAGTTCATGTTTTGTGGTGAAAGACAAAAGAAGTTAGAAAAAAAGGCAGGCTTCAGGAAAAACATTCAAGTCTTTTGAACTTGGATCAGTCTAGGTAAAACCAAATCCTTCTTGTAATTTAGCTCCATAAAAGACAAGTGGAAACCATCACAGTATCAGAACCACCAATGAGAATGTACCTTTGCCTGTCCTTGAGGACCATGAATTGTTTAAGGCTAATATTCTGGCAACAGCAATTAGCATGGCATATTACACAGCACTTCTTTTGAAAAGCACTTCTAATGATGCTTCACAAACAGGAATTATCTGATCTCTATGATTTCCATTTCTATGAGGCTTTAATTTCATCTAAGGGAAAGAAGCAGCAATCTCATCAAAAGATCTCTCTTCATTCTTTAAAAGAACACTGTCCTAGAGCCTGGTTTATTCTTAGTTGTGCCAGAAGCATACCTTCCTTTTTCTCTTCTACAGAGAAGTAATGAAGTTCCCAGAGCAAACCAAACAGCTAACTGAAATGCTGGAAATCTGAAATTCTTTCAGCTTCCTGACAGCTTTTCAAATGGAGTGCAAGTTTCTGAGCAGCTGCCTCCATAGATTACCTCTTTAAACAAGAAAGCCAATCAAGTCAGAGAGGTTCAGTATCAGTTCAGGACTCAACAGTACCCAGCCTGCAGTTATTATGCATGTATGAGAATGAATGTCTGTACTCCTGCCACTTAACTGCTCAACACACACATTCCCTTGTCTTATGGCACCAACTACATCTATATCCTCACAGCACCACACTTCCAGAAAATTAATCTTTCATACAGTGATCCCACGAAAATGTTATTTTAAACAGGCTATAAGAGCAACGTCTATAATTGAACATGACATATTTTTGCAGTTGACAAAAAATTTCTCATATGCTCGTGGTACTTATGTTTACAACCCACAGCCCATAGGATTCAACCAAAGTAATTTTTTTCTTTCTTCTCCACCAAAAAAAGTCTGTAAAGCCCTTTTTAAATAAAACAGTTCTGAAAGCCCTACTTCAAACTTTTACCTAAGACATAGGGGAAAAACTATACTCTCTGAAGAGTAAGACAGGAAAAGCTATACTATCTAAGAGTAAACAGGAAAATCTCCAGTGACCAGCCTAGCAGATGCTGTTTAGAAGAACACACATTCTATTTGCTATTGCACAGAAGGAAAATCCATCAGTCCTACTCACTGAAACTGTAATGCCGTAACTAAAATATTTTGGGAAATTTTGCTGTAAACAAACAGCAAATTTTGAATCCCACTTATGTCAGGATACAATCTACATAATTCACAGGCAGCCAGCAATGACAGAAAACCTTTGTTTCGTGTTTCCCTTCCATAGCTGCCCTTTCTGAAGTCCTGCTGTCCCTGTTCCTCTTTTGCCATTTCCCATCGCTTGAAAACAGCAATCCCAGAGAAGAAAATAAGGCTGTTCAAGGTGTAATGAAATATAGAAACAATTAAGATTAGACAGCTTCTGGGAGAAAATTGTGGTGGATAGTTTATCCAAGAGTAGAGTGAAAACACATATGATTGTTCCTTGTGATCCAAGGTGTAAATGAAGCATGTTACAGTAGCAATGTAGTGTGTTAAAATGGAGAGAATGCAAATAGAACCTAATGCCAAACCAGAAGTCCCCCCTGCACTGTGCATGCACCTCAATACACACCAATGGAAGCAATAAAATTTTCTTCCTTTAGACTTCTTGTGTCAAACTCCCTTGGCCCTTTGCCTGCAGGGCTTGGTGGCTTTGGCATTAGCTGAGGTACTGGCAGCTGCATCGCAGGTTTTGGCTCCACTCTTGGGGATGATGCAGGATCCTTGCCAACTGGAGTGACAGATCCATCTGTAGGACTTCGTTTTCTCTTTTCTGGTTCTTTAAATAAAAAGAACAGCGTTGAGAGAAAATAAATAAATAACTAACTAGAAAGAAACACAAGGAAAAAGGAAATGAGAGCCGGAGAAGAAAGATGAGACAGATGGTCTCACCTAAATCATTAAGCCTGGCAAGGAAACAGCTCAGTGCCACATTTGTTCCCATAGGTCAACATGACTTGCTGATAGTCTGACACACTGCTGGAAACAGTAGAGGAGAAAGCCAGAGTACTGTTTTAGGGATACTTAAGTATCTCATTTCTGTATATCTGAAACCTAGGGATGTTGTCTGACACAGTAACTGTAGCATCTCCTCTGCCAAATTGTGAAAAATTAAACAATTCTGCCTAAACTACCAAGAATACAATCTATAGAAGATAAGTTCCTCTCACAGTGCAAAGATGACAAAACCAATCAATTTTAGGGGTAACATGAAAACCTCATGAAACCTCAGTTAGGGAAAAATAAAACCAAAAAACCCAATCAGCTATAGCTTTTCCATCAATCTCTGAGACTTCCTATATCCCTATGTCCCTAAAGGCAGTTTGGATTATTTCTCTGTATCAAACCCCACAGTTTGAATTACAGCAAAAGCTTCAAAAAAGAATAATTAAAACCGGGTTTTCCATAAAGAGACTCCTGCACAAACTATTCCAATACCTGATGAATCTAATAGTCAAAACTTCATATCCTATTATCAAAATCTGTCATACCACTAGATCTCGTGATACCTTTGTTCAGTGGATTTAAGATTCTGCTATCAGCAACACCTTTCTATTTAGAGAGTAATTGAAAAGAATCAACACCTAACACTCAACAGACTGAACACTTCCATGCTTCAGAGAAAAGTGTTTCCCCAATGCCTTGTAGACCTTCTCAGAAACCTCCTCAACTTTGCAAGATGTGATGACCAGAACTGGGAGCACTACTTCACAGACACTATACAAATATATTACTATACTATTCCAAATGTGTATTCACAGATACACTGTGTCCCCCTTCCCAGTTTTTACAGACACAGTAAATAGTGGGAAGTTCACATAGAGCAGCAGGAGAATGCTTCCTAGGATACACCTCCCAATCCTACTATTATTGCCAACTATCCTTGTTCCTGAAAACAAGTTCTTAGTTTAAACACATCATAATAACTTAATCACAACTATGCTTTACTAAGATTTAGCTCTAGACAAAAGAAGATATATCCATCATGTCCCATAGGATTTATTACTTGTTTATTACTATATGTTCAATAATATCAACATAAAGACTAATCTCTGTAAAACATTTCTAGAAATAAATACTAATTTCAACTAATTGAAAACAAATAAAACATACTAACCAGCTAAAATTTTACTACAAATTAAGATGCTATGCAATAATGAGAAGAGTCTTTAAAAGTTTGCACCAAATTTTGTCTTGTCATGATCACAATTAGTTTTCTGGGAAAACTCTACTTATCATCAAATTATGCTATTTGGTCTTCACTCTAAAACCACTGAGTTTTATATCAGTCACTCCAATTTTCCTTAGAATCAGTGTCAGACTAAAAGCTTATAATTACCAAGATCAGCCTATTCTCCACATTCAGGGCTGTTCCACTAGCACAGCCTTCCTTACCTTCCCCAGCATTCTAACAATGACTGCAAAGGAACACGAGGTGTATCTGAGCCAACTCATAAAAAATCCCTGATGCAAGACCCAGAACACCAGCTATAAAGGGTTTAGTAGATGCTACTCCTCTGCTACAATGAAACAAGTAACTTTTCATCATCTGAAATTACAGAAGTCAGATATTAAGTAGAGCTTTTTGCCATCTTTTGCTTTCTTTAGCATGCATTTTCTTATTTTGCATTAGAATCAGATTCTTAAGAAACAGTGGAAAAATAAAGAGATCTTTTCAGACTTTCTTCTCCTAAGAGTATTTAGTTGTATGAGAATAATTGTGCCAATGTGGTTGGTGAGATGTAAGTCTCATACGGTTCCACATTACAAGTATCTCCCTCCCTATTGTTGAGGTTGCCTACAACAACTTTCCAAGACTGTGGCTGAGACAGTTTTAGCTGAAGGTCCCCATTCCCAGAATTTCCACTTCAGCTGTAGATGTGCCAGGTTTTGTATCTCACTGCAGAGTTTCCATTTTCAATTTAATATCAGTATGGCCATTATTTTGCTTTGGTCCAGTAACATGTATAACATATGTATAGAAACACATAATAGGCTTCAAGCTTTATAAGGCTTCAGTAAAAACAGTAAAATTCTCACCATTCTGGAAGTGTTGGAAAAGCCCTGAAATATCAAAAGGCACAAAACCAGCTACCTTCCAAATCTTGTTTGGTTCATAAACACTGTATTCTCATGGACATTTTTCTTACCTTTATTATAGTAGTGAGTATGTGCTATCTCTAGCAGGCCAAAAACACTGGCCATGCCTCCCAGGCCAGCATTTGCATACGACTGCTCCAGGCTTAACACAGTGCACTTCAGCAGGTCCAGCATGCCTTTATAAACCTTGCGGCTGATCTCCTGCAATGAAATCCCCATTAGTGCTGCTATAACATAAATCCCCGAACTGCCATAGCATCAGCTTTTTGCAATTGACAAAAGCTTCCTGTGAACTGGGCCTGGGCAGAAGCTCAGAGTGAGGACAGGGCTGAGTTCAGCACTGACCACGTCCTGTATGATGTCCTGCCGAGCATCCTCCTCTGACTGGATGGTGCGGTTCAGCTTGCTCAGCACAAACACACGCAGCTGCTCGCTCTCCAGCAGACGTCGGACCCTCTTCATGTTCAGCCAGCCAACACCTTGCCCATCAAGAACATTGTGCACCACCTCCTTCAGGAACTGCTGGTTCTCACTGGTACATTTAAGAGAAAGCAGGCAAAAGTTAGTTACCCTCTGCCTACTTTGGCTTACATGGGAAGAGAGCTATGGCCAGGGCACATACAGAAGTACCTTCCCTATCAACAGTAGTTGGCATCTAGCTCTGTCTGCTGCTAATGTAACTGCACACAGCTCAAGCTCTGTTCCATAGGTGTAGTATCAAATACTTTATTTTGTCCTTTATTTCCTATAAGAAGCCATAATCAGGCTTTCCTCTAGCTTCCCTAAGTACCACTCTACACTTCACTTTCACAGCACCCTTCAAAATCCACAGGAATCCTTTATGCCTCAACCTTCTTCCACAGCCCCCACATCTGAACTGCAGAAGAGGAAGTGCAGCACTACTAATGCATTACTGCAGCAGTCTTGGCACATGTTTGCTTAGCTTCTTTTGTAACAGAGGGAAAGGTAAGAAGAATGAAACTCCCATGCAGTCTGCTGCATTCCACAGTCTGAACTGCAGTTATTATTCTTACGTGTCCCCCAAACCCAGAAGATCAAAATAAATTCACTCTACCCATGACTGCTACATAAAAAAGGGAGGAGAAAGCACCAGCACAGGTACTTGTGTACTTGCACACACTGAGTACCTTCCCAAGGTTGACAAAAACACTTCACATGAATTTATGGAACCAAATTGCTTCATTAGACTCAGCTGATCCCCCTGCATGGTGCATTAAAACTCCACTGGACTAGATCACCTTGTTCAGAACACTCATTTACAAAGAATAACTACTGAGTTAAAGTAGAAACTTAGAACACTTTGGACCTCAGACAGAATGAGGATAAATTTTGGACCAGAGAAAAATAAGCATGTGCACTTCTCACTGTAAGACATCCGTACCAAATCTTCCTAGACAATAACATGTCCAGGTCTAGGGCAACAGAAAAGTACTATTTAGTTTTTAACAGCTAGACTTCTGAGAAAACATTGGCCAGGTATGAGGCCTCTCTAACTACCCTGTACACTTGAACAGCAGGAGAAAAATATTACCTGGAATTGCTAGTTCGTCCCTGAGGTGATGGAGATTCTCTTTTCACTGTTGGGCTGTGCTTTATGACTGAAGACTTCTGATCAACAAGGGCCCGTCTGTTTCCTAAAGAGGAGAGGAAACAGAATGAGAGGAAAGGGCAGGAAAAAAACAATCTGATCCCAGTGACAAGCAACACTAAAGTTGGCTAACACACCTATTCGAATTACAGGTAACAGACTTCAAACAAAATGGAAACTCCAAAAAAGCAGCAGCATATATCATATTCTAGCATCACACATCGGCAGAAAACAGTAATGGGAGTAATGCAGAGAGAAAAAGAGAAGATGGTAATGGGAGCAGGAGGTGAGAGGCAGGAAAAGTTTGGCTGCTCTGCATGCAGTTCCACAACAAGAACCATCTTCAAATTAGTCACTATATGTAAAAGCATAATGCATTGAGGGTGACTAGTATAGATCATGTGGTACTGGTTACCCAGTGAGAAAGGTAGCCCGAAGTCAGGCACAGGGAATGCTGGAAATTGTTACATCATGCACAGCTCATGCTGTAGGGAACCCACCTTCATTGCTTACTGGGCCAGCTTCAGTAATAATCTCCATTATAGTATTTAACCCAAATACTGGGACACAAAATATACAATTAGTAGTGTACTGAAATATCTACACTCCCCACTGTCAGCATCAAAAGAATCCAACTACCAGTTTCTTCCCAGCCCTCCCTCAAAATAAAACCCAAATGACACTAGAGCAGGAAGGATGCTTGAAAGTCCAAGACCACGAGGGCCAGAATAACTTATCTTAAGAGATAGTGCTTGACTTGAAATTTGGCATCGTGGAACCAGTGTACTGCATCTTGAAGGACATTATTGCACATATTGTATTTGAATGGCACTACAAAAACCATCTGCATCACCAAGGAAAAAATACCAATGGATGTGCATGAAATAAAAATTAAAAAGGAAGATGGAAAGTGGTCAAACAGCAGCAATGAAATGGAGTCCCAGCATCATTTCCCATTACAGTTAGAAACACACACTTGGCAAGAACAAGTTAATGTAGCAACTTTGTATCTCTACAGCAGAGACAAAAACATCTAAAAACCACTGAAGTGCCCAGTGGGAGTCCCAGTGAGCCAGCATGCACATGTAAATGAACACACACACACACACACACACACACACTTGCACATGCATAAAACAGACTGAGCTACTCCATGGAAATCCCATCCTCATATCTGCACTGTAATATTAATGGCCCTACAGGATTAAAATAGTTAAGAAAAGAACACCAAAGTGCAGAAGATGAGGCATAAAGCATGAATGTGGAATGGCAAACCCCATCACTGTTTTCTTCCAATGCATGGAATCAGTCATTAAGTTTACCCATGGAAACAACCCTGACAGGAAGCATGTTTCTTATCCAGTACAACTGAACATGAAAACATAACCAACTGGTAAAAGGTTGTCAAAAACAGCTGTGCAGAGTCTCTGCTAGTGTTTTCACCCTACCAGTCCTGTTACTCCTCATTTTACACACAGGAAATGATTACTTGTCTCAAAAACAAAGTCCAAAGCAGAAACACAAAATCCAGCTTTTGGTCTTTGTTTCTACAAGGTCAAAGGTCAGCAAAACATCATACCAACCTTCATCCACATCCCTTCCCAATTCCAGATTAAAGTAATCTTTACCGATAAAAGTCATGAGGAGGAAAAAATAAATGAAAAAAAAATCAACACATTAAAACAAAAGCAGTAAGTTCTGATCAGATAGAATAACTCAAAAGGCAAAATAAAACCTCTCCTCAGTATAGCATCTGAAAACACTACAACACCAGTGCAAGCTCAGTCACCCCTGTGATATTACAGTCAGCACAGGGATGACCAGGCTGACACCCATGGTGTGAGGGCCATTTCTCTAGTGCCCATTCAGACATGTTACCTAATGATACTGCACACAAACAGGAGATGTTCTAATGAAAAGATTGTGCACATATGCTAAGGATTGATCTTCATTCTCATAGAACTGAAAGCATGGTTGTAATTTGATTTTCTACTTAGCAGTCTGAAAGGACGATAAACACTTTTGAAACTCACATAATCTGCAGTTTCTATGGGAGGCTGGCATTACCCCCATTTACAAATGCACCATCATCCCTCTAATAAATTACCTAAAGCAGGACCTACCTCTTGGTTCCTGTTCTTTATACTAAGTACTTAAAACAAAACAAGATACACTACGAATGCTGGTTTTGTTTGTTAAATCAGCCTAGACTGGACACTCTCCAATCCCAACACAGCCCAGTTGTTGGAAAAAAGACTGACTGAGAAATATCATAACAATTTGCTGTCTTGCCCCTTTAACAAAGGTACTACCCAAACGACCAAAAGACATCACTCCCAGGATTTCTGTTAGGGGTAGGACCTCAGACTGCCAAGTCACAAGAACTGAAAAGGCTGCAGAAGACAAAAGGAAAAATGGTTACCTTTCAGGCTGGGAAAGGGAGTATTCTTGTCTCTCCCAACTTTGGTTGGTAGGGCCAAGTTGGACAGACTGAAACTTGTGCTGTGGTTTCTGTACAGGCTGCCTATGACAGAAGACAAAGACAATTAAATGCCTACTGCTCACTGTACACACCTAAAGATCCTGTAATTCACCATCTTATTTCAGATCTTTAATGATTAAGTTCTTCTTTACTACTCAAAAGTATCACAACCATAACATGACCTCATTTACACTGCAACCACATCTGTAATCACATTATTCTAAACAGTACAAAAACATAAGTCTTATCATTCATGTCACAACAACTGATGTTGGATCTTCGAGTGTGAAATGTAACAGCAAAATCCTCCTTTCTTCCTGCACTTAGATCACATTACCTTAGCTCTACTTTCTAGTTTGATCCTGTTTATGGGAGCAAATGAATGGCTGTGAAAGCCACATGAGAAAACAGGATGACAGAAGATCTGTAAAACACGTAATTGAAGTGAGGACTGTGCACTGTGTCTTGTGAAACACTGTAAATCTGCCATGGAACCATGCTTTGAAATAGAAGCTTTTCATTTATTAGGAAAAACCATATATTCTTCCTGGTACAGGCAGGTCTTAAGGACACAATTACACATCATCATCTGTTTAAGCCCACAGACAGCCTGAAAGCATCACATTTATATAAAGGAGCTAACTAACTCTGATATAATAAATAAAACTAGCTTAATGAATGCATTGTACATACTTGCAAAAGACATGATGCCCCCAAAACCTTCACTGCTGTTGTTGGAGACAGTAGAGTTTGGGGAGCTGGCCCTGGAATCTGAATCTGCATCAGAATCACTGGCCAGCTTTAAACTGTTTGGCCGGAGCAACTTCTGAGACCTTTAAAGAAATGAAGCACAACTGTTATTAGCATCCCTCCTTTGTGGCCCAAATCAACACCTTGTATGGTTGTGGGAGATTGATGTTGGTCTCATTCACACCAGTTTTTACCCCACTACCTGCACCTTCTTGGAAAGAAAAAATCCCCACCCAAACAAACAAGGAAAAGGAAAAAAAAAAGAAAACTGAAACATCTTTACATTCAGGTTTTTATAGCCTTTCAAGGCATGCTGAAAACTTGTCTACAAAAGGGCATTGGCAGACTTCTGGTGTGGGTTCTGGTTTGAAAGAGTAACAAGAAAACCCATTGCCACCAATCACTGCAGTATCTTTCCCCCAAAAGACAAAGATTTACCAAAAATCAGTATGTGATATACTAGAATGTTCTAGAAAGAACTGTTAGTTCTCATAGCTTCTACTGCTTACATAAAAGTAAGGAACTTAGGGACTAGGCAACTGCTTTTATTCAAACCAGAAGGGTTGACAGCATTTCAATACTAAATGAAAGTTTGCCAAAGACATTTTAGTGATAGAAACCTCAGAAATGCTGTAGAGAAGGGCAGGAAACAAGGAGGACTTGCCTGCTTCCATTGAGATTCTGGTTAAATCTTGGAGTGTAGCTCTCTTCCTGCTCATCATCTTCATCCTCTGTAGGAAAACCATACTGTGGTTCAAAGTATGGATTGTCATACTCTCGCTTCCTCACCACCCCTTCTGAGGAGCTCATGCTGCCAGCTGCAATGTCACTCTCACGACGATCCAAGCTGATCTTGGGAAAGCTTGGTTGCAGTGGCAAGGAAGAAAGATGGTTTGAAAATCCAGCAGCCAACTTCTCTTCAATTTCTGCTGAGTCTGCTGCCTCCCGTGGACCAGCCAAATCATTGGTCTGCTCGCTAATTTGCGTGACATAGAGCTGAAGGGCAGGACAAGAACAATGATTTCAAACTGGGAAATCTGCACAGTCCTTGCTGCTTGCTACAGGGCCCCCACCACATCCCCACTATCTGTGTTTCTAGGATTTTATATGCAATGCACTATTTGTGCATTGTTCTTGGGACTTACTCCCTTCAAAATAGCTCTGACTAGTAAGTGTTAGCTCAGGATAATGGCTTTCCATTACCATGTTCCATTCTTCTTAAAAGACCACAAATTCATGAGTTTCCCCACCCCACTCGCTGCTGCTCTAAAGACATTAGGTCTCTCCAGACTCTGTAAAAGTAATTCCTGCAGTCCCAACCTGGACCATTTCTCTCTGCTAATGCTGCATTTTTCAATGCACTAGAACTTTTTGTACAGGAATGGTCTGTCCCAGCATAAGAGGGTACCAGCAAACTCCACCTTGCTCAGAAAGTCCAGGGTGAGCATGCAATTTAATCTGTGCATGGTGTAACAGTCCTATTAGCTTTTGCCCTTCTCAGAAAGAACCACGTGCATTCTCCCATTCTTTATATCCTAATACGCTGATCTTGAGGCTGAACTCATCTCAGTACACACATGATTCACTCCATGGATGACAGTGCTGGGGCTGCTACTGGCTGTAGTACTGGAACTTGAACGAGGCTGGTTATTCTCTTGGGAGTTCTCACTGTCCATGATCTGTTCATCGGGATCCCCTGAATATTCTTGAAAATCATCGAATTCCACTTCACTAGCATCACCAAGAGCAGCATGAGTCAGAGGGTCAACATCTGCAAATACATATATTCATTAAACAACATTGCCTTCCTCAGCTTTTTGCCCACCTAACTAAACATTCCTAGAAGATGAGGACTGCTCAACAGAATCAACTTGCATAAAAATTTAGGTTGTAAGGGGCTTTTGGAGGTCATCCATTCCAATTTTCTCCTCAAAGCAGGAGCACCTTCAAAATTAAATCAGGTTGCTCAGGGCTTTGTCCCACTGAGTTTTGAAAGTTTTCAAGGCTTGACATTCTACAGTGATCCTGGGAACCTGTTCAACTACAATAACCACTAAATTATTTTCCCTATGTCAAGTAGAGGTTTTTTTGTTGCAGCTTATGATTATTACCTCTTGTCCTTGGGACATGGGAAATGTTTTGGGAATTCTAGATTTAGTTCATTGAACAAAGTGAGAGTTTATGCAGCCTCCATATAAGCCACAGAGAATGCATTTTTCTGTTCCCACTAGGACAGAGTAATATTTTAAAGCTAGCACTGAGAACCAACATGCACGGGTAGGAGAGAGCTCACACTCTGCTGTCCATATTGCACAGTATTTACTGGCAGCAGCAGGTTGGTTCCAGATCTAGTGAACCAGCTTTGTCCAGCAGCACCTATTTCTGTTCTTCCTTTTCACAGTGTCCTTTGGAGGAAATTGTTTATAAGCAGGAGAAATATCCTTTTTCAGTCTACCCATACACTTTTACCTCAGAGCAAGACTACAATAGAACAATACTTTGTTCTGATTCAGGGATTTAGGGGAGGCCTTTTTCCCCAAAGTGCTTCAGATTAATTGGGAAAGGGAACCTACATGGACCTTGTGAAAGTAAAAGCATAAGTTACTCACTTGGGGTATCACCATTAATGTCACATTTCATCATCTCACTGACAAAGTCACCAAGGGAGGAGTAGGAGGAACTTGAATCGTCATAGTCGACGCTGTCACTGCCACTGCCACAACACGTGAGAGAGAGAGATGAGTGGCAGCATCAAAGCAACAGCAGCTCTGACGCTTTAGAGATGTGAATCAGCACTGTTTTTCATGGGCCTCCTAAAAATCTCATATTATTGTAGCTATAAACAAATTTCACAGGCCACCTTCATGAAAAGTAAGAGCAAAAAACCATAATTTTCAGGTATGTGAAGAGTTATGGGAGGACATTTAAAATCTCTCAGCAAAGTTAATGAGGCCAAACATGACTAGAGAATAGTCTATTAATTCACAAAACATGTGTGTGTTTATGTAGGATAACTTCAATGGAACTGGGAATCACAAGTAAAAGCATTTCCTTTTTACACTAGTGGTAAATTCCATTCTGTTCGGACCACTGGTGCTGTGTAGAATGCAAAACATGTGCAAGTCTAAGGCTGAAAGATCTCACAAACCAGAAAGGAATGAAAGGAAATAAAACTAAGACACAAAACTCCAAGAAATGTGGCTAAAAACTACTATATAAAGTTTCCTTTCATTTTACTGAACACACAAGATGGTCACAGACAGTAGATAGTACTAACAAGCTTTGCACAATTATGGATAGGGGACAGAGATTTAAAAGAGTGGTAGGATGGGTGGGAGTATTTGTAGTACTGCAACAGAAATAACCAGAGAAAGAACAGCATGGAAGAAAAGAGAATTAGGGTGTGAGGAAATGACAAATGTCAAGTGGCATACAGGTAGCAAAAGAAAATAGGAAAATAAGTATGGAGAATCACATTAAATGAATATGCTAGCAAAGGGTTAAGAGGTTTGCTGTGATAACAGAGCAGTGAGAAAATTTACTTCAGTGTCAGTATTCTGCCCAGACAAGAAATGAAACAACAGCCTGTCTGGCTATAGGAAAAGGCTGCAAATGAGAAGCAGGAGAGGTCCAGCAATCTGAAATAACTCTCATGTGAGTACAGGCATGTTCCCCACTAACCTGTCATCAGTGGGATCAGAATCTGTTTCCTTCTCTGCTGGGACATTCAGGGCTTCAGCCAGCTGTGAATTGCTGTCATAGACTCGATAGTGGATGGGCTGCAGCTGGTGAGCATACCACTTGGGCTTGTCACCAATTAGGGCTGGGTCAAACATGTCTGCACAAAAAAAACAAGGAGAGCTAATCAAACTCATTTACTGGTGTCAAAGGCTTCATTCACAGTGACATTAACCTCTACTGAGTCTTGCACAAAAGGAGAGTCTTTACTCTAAGAAGTCTACAGGAATTCTCCGTAATCAAACAAGAGGTAAAGTCAATTGGAGCAGCAACTTGCCAATAGCAAGGTTAACTTGGGAGAAACACATGAGGCCATACATAAAAAGAGAAAAATATTCTTTGAACTAGATTTTCCTCCCCAGCAGGACTACTACGGTATAAAATCAAATCCTCCCTTAGAATGCCTGGTTTTTGAGTTCCTGCATTACATCCAAGTGCAGGAAAGGCAACACTTACTGTTATGAATTCTTTGGAAAGCATAATTAGTAGGGTTGAGTGACCATTCCCCAAAGTACTCTACTGCCTGTGTTCTGGAAAGCTTATCTGCAAAAGGTGTTTGCTTCGGCCTAGAAGCAAGAAAAGAATTTGCCTGGAAGGCCACCACTGGTCGTGGGAAGAGACGAAGAGTTCGAGTATGCATTTGGAAACCTTGCAAAACATTTGGCGAGTTGAAGAATCTCACCATAGCAACCCTAAAAAGAAACAGAGAACAATATATTAGATAAAAACACAGAGCCTAACAAAAAAGGAAGAGAGTCCTTAAAAGGTATGCCATAGACAGTGTTTCAAACCTTTGAAGAATGGTAACCTAACTCTTCTTTAGAAAACAGCTCTCTTGTAAAAAATAAAAAAAAAATCCAAACAAACCAAGACCAGGAGATCACTTTGTTCTAATTCACCATCTTAACACAAACACCCACTCAGTGAAGGATATCATTCCTGTTTCTACTAGCTGAGGTAACAAATCCCCAGCTTTTTTTTTCTGTAGCTCAAGGCTTGTTGATTTAAGCTGTGGATACAGTATCAGACTGACAAATCCAGGTGGAGTGGATGATCTATAGGAAAATGCAAAAAGCAAAACACCCCCTCAAGATACACAGTTATGTTCATGCAGGTACCAGATATGAGATAAACACTGTAATTACTGCTCTTTTCCCCCACATGATGTCAAGTAGAATCTACAGTAATACCCGACAGATGCTGTTTCACTCATGGAAATGTTTGTGCTGCCCTCAAGTGCAAACTCTAATGAAGACTCAATGCTACCCTCCTGTTAAGTCTCACCTGGTAGCCACATCGACAGAGTCCACATCATTTCCATAGATCAAAGGGTTGAATTCTGTGGAGGGAGTAGACTGCAAATCATTCTGTGGTCTTCCCAGCAGCAGAGGCACCTCCTGCCCCTCATGAAACTTCTCTAGATTAAGAATGGGCTGAGTATTCAGGCTCATGCTGGCCAGGGCCTATTGAAGGACATTATGCACACATTCAGCAAGAACAGTTATTTAAGGAACAAAAAGATCAGAGCTACCCTGCCCTCTAGGCAATTGTAACAATTATGCATGCTCCATTAATTTGTCTTAAACCACCTCCACGATGAGTCAACAAGTATCTCCAGGCCCTCCTTTATGCTGATTGTCAAAATGATCTCCTCAATGCTGAAACAGTCCTGAAGCCAGCCAAGGAGTAACACGGAATTCCATTTTGCTGGATCATTCATGACAGGAAAACTGATAGTCCTAACTGGACCACAGTAGTATGGCACTGCATAGCTCTACTGCTTGTAGAGTTATTTCCATGTGTAATTTGAATACATCTTGGGAAATACAGGCCTTGAAATTTGCCCTTAAAGGCGGCTATTCAACCAGTAATTTGATATTCTAGGAAAATACATTTGCTTGTATCCCTGAAATCCTCCACTTTCCATTTGAATGAAGTCTTCATCTGTCCATAAAGCTACCTCTTCAACCCTCATAAAGTCTTCAAGGAGCAGCACAAGTGGTGAATCAGTCCTGGACACCCAGACCTATCCTAACCCTCCTCATTTTTCCCATTTGCCCACTGAGGCTTCATCTTTTTATTTTAAAAATAAATAAATATATAAAACCAAACCAAAGAAACAAAGAAAAAAAAAACTCCAAAGGAAAAGGGTAAAATGGAAAATTGAGGGGAAAAGAATAAAATAAAGAACCTTGTTGTCAGGAGTGAGCAGCTGTTTCTGAGTGATTGCAGTCATGCTAACCAGACACTGGAGGCAAGATGGAAGATCATATGATAACACCACAGCAGCCCATCAGAGCCAAGACGAACACATGACCACAGAGAAACAGATGGAAGGGAAAAAAAAATATCTATTACTACCAAATATCACAAATGAGAGGAAAACAAAAGGGGACCACAAAATAGACACATCTTGGGAAAGAGGTATAACTGCCCCACCCCCAAACATTCATATCTGGCCACTTTGTCAAGCCTGTTATCCTTAATGACGCAGCTAAGAACTTTCTATAACACTTTAAAAGCAGACATCCTGAAATTCATTTATTGACTCTAAGACAATGTGACACAAAGGTACACAGAAGTGTTAACCTTAGAAATGTGGGCCACAATTTGTCAGCTTTGTACCAGTAGCACTCCTTTGCCAATGGTAAACTCTTAACGACAATGTCCATAGGGGGATCCAAGCTGAATTTGGGTGAACACTGAGAATTTTGAGTATGTCTTCAAAAAAAATTGTAATTTGTTCTTCTAATACTTGAGTTTGTCTTTGCACTAGTGAGAAATTTTGCTAAATAGTGCCTGAAATTGCAGGGGGGTGAGGCAGCAGTGGGGGGAAGGTTGATCTAACAAAACTCCAGGCAACACATCACTTCCATCTGTGCTGACAGCAGGTACTGGGATATCAGAGAGGTTACACACTTTGCTCTCCTGGTCTATGAGGAAAGAGAAAGAGCAAACCTCATCACATTAGTAACACACTTTACCTTTAGATACTGCATGCAGCGTGCATAAGGAAAACAGAAATAAAGAGATAAAACCTGCTTGACACGATCAGCCAGGATGACCCAAGCTGATTAATGGCTTAGCAGGACCTGAGAGGAGAGACTGACACTTCACACACAGATCTGTGAATGGAGGGGAAACAAAGATGATCATAGCTTGATGGATCAAGTCAGAGTTTAAAGCCCACATGGCAAACGTAAAGGAAGAAACTGGAACTTTCTGCATTGACTGGAAACAAATTAGCCCCAAACAACAGTAAAAATAAACCATCTGTTTGTGTACAGGGACATTTCAGCTTTACATTCACTAATTTGCATTCTTAGCCACTATAGCAGAAGAGCTGGGCAACACTACATATGTTATGTTCTACTGAATCTGAGTCCTTTCCCCAGAGTGCATATTACCTGTTTCAGATGCTTTTTCAGCTCTGAAGCTTCTGGTTCTGGCAGTGCTGGCAAAGGTTCTGCATTTGTGGGAACAATCACCTGGAATTAAGCACAACAACGGCCTAAAAATTCCCCAGCTGTAGTCATTTCAAAAACAGAATCCCCCGACTCTCCAGCACTTCAAACATCGAGGAATAAGACACAGAAGTAAAATAAGAGTCAAAAAAGCCCCACAAACTCAGACACCTGCTTTTCACTTCTTTATGGTTGTTAATGTTTAAGATATAATAAACAGTGAAGTTACTTTAACATTTACCACAAAAATGAGAAGTTTCAATCAACCCACTTTCCATCAAGCAGATGATGTTATAGACATTTTCCTTGAATCAGCCTTGCTCATATCCTTGTAGAAAGCGAGATACACAGCCCCACTTGAATCATGACAACCAAGGCTGTGGGAAGGCTCTTAACAGATTGGGTTTCTTAGGTAAGGCCATAAGACACAGTGTGATAATTAGTCAAGAAGAAAGTTCTATCATTTCCTTGAGGAATTACCTTTTAATGATATAGCCAGATCAATTAACTGAAAAAAGATGCCAAAGACATGGGGGCCTTGAGACACAACAAGGAATGGAATCCTGAAGTTTAAGATGGGAGTGGCAAAGGCAGACTGAGGCCAGGCATTACTGAATTCTCAGTGGGTACACTGGTGACAGTACACAGCTCCTAGAAATAAAGCCACAAGTTCTTATGGGTGCCACTTACCCTATTGGTATCCAGGTCAATAAGCCATACATCATCAGGCATTTTAAAATCCAGTTTGTAAAGGAAGAAACTTGCTGGAACACCAATGATGTAAGGTGTAGGGGCTAGAAGCAACTGAGAGAAAGACAGACTTTACTAAGGACAAGATCTGCATTTGGTATCACCATGTTCTTCCCACATATTTATTTATTGACTACAGCATGTCTATAGCAAAGTAGACAACACAAAAGGCAAAAGGCGTTGATAAATAAGTAATAAATACCATAAAATGGAAGCACAATAGAAAAAAAAGTTCCCGTTCAGAAAGTTTCAATTTTCATCTAGGAGAAAATATATTTCCATCACCCATGTTCCATTATGTCCCACCCAGGACATAATTTATATGGCTACATGGCTGGCTCTTTGGAAACAGCTTGCCATGTCTATCATGGTAAAAAAAAAAAAATTATACAGAGTAAGAGCCTAAGCTGAAAATCATGAAGTCATCGATGAATACATCCTCAGCTCAGACTGAGTCTGTGCCATTGTAAATAGGCACATACAAGGACTTTATCCTTATGCTTGTAGTGGTAATTTGGTTTCAAAATAATACCATCTCTAAGAAGTACAAGATAGACACATTTTTTCAGATGTATGTGGAAAACCTATGGGGGAAATTCAATTGCATCTGCCAAGGGAATGAGCAGAGGAAAAAGGTTTAAATCAAGTAGGCACATACCAGCTTGAGACCACTAGCTTGGAAGGCTAATTTATTCTTTTAATCTGGAACTGCTGGTCACCTCCAAGGAGTGGTACATGAACAAACCTGCAGCATCAGTTGCAGGATAGCACCGAAGTAGTAAGATGGCCTAATTTCTATTTTTCCAAGCAGAACAATGACCTCCTGCAAAGAGCTGACTATTGGCTAAACCCAGGCATCCAGCTGAAGTAACACAACACTTCATATTTCTGAGATTGCAGGCAATAGTTTCTGAACTCTGAATCAGAGTCCTCAAGCATCCTTAAATATTATTCTGGACCCTCCTCAACAAACTTTAATATTCAGTTTAGAGGGGGGAGGGGGTAAATATCATCATAATATTGTTGAGCTATGTTGTTCAGTCTATTGTTTGTGAAGGACTGCTTTGAATCATTCTATTCACTGAGCGTGCTCTGAAGATATCCTACATAAGTGGTGTTACCTATGATTTAAATAGTCACACTCAAGCAATGCTCTTTGCAAGGCAAAGATACAATCTCTGAGAAGACAGTGAATGACAAAAGGACCACAACTATATGAGTTTTAGACATCACAGACACATCTTTTGTGAAAGATCAATGAAGGAAAAATATGTACCTGTTCTGCAGAGGCCATGCAGGTGGGAAGCAGAGGGATCACTGGGAACATGTACTCTAAAGGGTAGATCATGGCCACAAAGGCCATCACAGACATTGAAAGTGCATTATAATCTCGGGACTGCAATACAACCTGCAAGAAAGAAACTCCCATTAGCACTGCAGCAACAATTCACTTCTAATGCTCCCCTCAGGTATATACAAAGACCACAGATTTTGTGATCTCTGCAGATTCAAATTCGATGGCTGTGAACTGGGTAATCCTCCATTAATCTGTCTGTAAACAAGCTTTGGGTGTTTTTTTGAGTGAGAACAGAACTTTTAAAAACAGGAACCTCAGAAGGAGCTATTTATTCCCCTCATCCTCCACAGACAAAATTCATTCCAGGCAGTGCAGAGAGACAGTTCTACATGACCAGCTAACCTGGTTTTGAAGAGAGCAGAACTTCCTACACACTTATCAAACATCAACTCTTCCCTTCTTACCTTGTGCTCCAGAAGGATGCAGGTCAGCACCTGCAGGCAGGCATCCACTCCCAATAACTCCAAAGGCAGATGTAATGGAAAATCCACCAAAGTGAAGCGGGATGGATCAGGAAGAGCAAAGGTCAAAGCTGGCTGCAACTCGTGTGGCAGGACCTCCACATCCACCCTCTTCTGCCCAGCAACGGGCATGGGTGAGCGGAGCAGCCGGTATATCCAAGCCTCGATCTCCCGCAGGTCGTGGAGCAACGCGCTGGACTTCTCTTCCACCAGCAGGGAGCCTGTGAAAATCCTCCACATTGTATCCCTGGACAGGGAGAACGCCAAGGTTAACATCCAGGAACTGCACCTGACAGCCATTCTGCAAGGCTCTTCCACAGAAAGGGCAGATCCACCGACGATTAAAGGATTAACTAACAAACATTTGATAGCACAAAGGAACGGAAAACTGGCATTTCAGCTTAATGATACAACCCACAATGTGAGGGAGAATAAATCTTTCTGTGGCAGGAATCAACACAAGTATGTAATTTCAGACTTCATTCACACCTTTAAAGGATTCAGTCAGGTCCAGATCTCTGAAGAACCCTCATCACCCTCGCTTGAAATTTGGTGGGCACACAGGACAGTCTCCTATCTCTTCCAGAACTGTAGCAGATTAACTGCAGGACTCTGCTTCTAGCAGTCTACAAACCTTTGCAAGAATAGGAATTAAACCCGAGATAAAAAAAATATGCCATATCCAAGATGTCCCAGATGTTTTGACATGATAAAATACCCTTCTTCATTCTGTCCTAAATTGCACTGTATCATTCTTAAAAGCTGAAAAACCCATGGGAAAAAATGGATCTATTTCAGCTAAATCTCTGAAAGCTGTGTAGAAAGCATTTAGGTATCTTAGCAAAATAAGCAGCAAGTTTTCCACACCCTAATTTGGCAATCTGCAAACCTGTAGCTCACAGACAGGCTGGCAAAAAGCATGAACAGCATTGCTCAGGGCCTTCAGAGCTTCAACACTCAAAACTGGCTCTGACAAGGGAAGCACAGTCTTGTCCACTTCAGTCCTTTACCCTGTAGCACAGTGAATGCTGCAAACCTTCGGTATTCATTCTCCAAATAACTTCAGCCTGATAAATATCTGGAGTTACTGTAAGAGATCCCTTAGAAGGCTATGAGTTCAAACTGGCAGTTCTATCTTACAGTTCACGACTTCAAAAAAAATAATGAAAAGGAAAAAGATTGTGACACTGGAGGCTTCACAAAGACAGAATAATTAGAGAAATTTGGATGGCTCAAAACAAGGGCGATTTGAGATTACACTGAGTACATGATACACCTCTGAGGAACTGTGATGCTTCTCATCCTGCACTCTTCCTTCAGCTACTTGTCATGCACAAGACATGAGGCTGCTAAGAGGTGTGCTCCACCTTTTGCCAGCTGTAAGGATTCAGTTTCACCTTTATTCAGCCACCACTTCAAAACTGTTCTATGTTTCCAGGTCACCACTAGAAACCACACGGTAATTCACACCTGCTGCTTTACTTTTCCCAGAGATGTATGCTCAATATTCCTTCTTTTGCCATCCTCATCATCACTCAATTATTCTCTTTAAGAATTATGTCCAATAAGGGCAAATTTTTCAAAGACCACATGTCATTTTAACACCAAATTGAGGAAAATAATGAAATTCAGTGGGGTGTTTTTTCCTCAATAATTATCAGGCTAAACCAAGTGACAAAATAACATTCCTTAACATATATTTCTACTGGGGGGAGATGTTTTGCTCTGACAACATAATTTATTCTCCATCAGTGGATTCAAGTGATAAATCTGCTAATGCAAGAATACTAGCCCAGAACACCAATTCCAGGGCAGTAGCCCAAGAAGTAGGCCACTTCTCTATGAATAGGACACGTTTTCCATTTCATGCAGAAAGTAAAGAGCTTATAAAGATAAAAATTATACTAATTATAATCCCATCATGTTTTGCTTTTGACAAGTTTAATTTGGAGTGTACCAAGCTACTTAACTCACATTATGTACTATCTCACAGTCCTGTCCTTCAAACTGTTGAGATAATCCCCTGCTTCTCCAAAGATTAATTTCATACCTTTTCTATTCAGTTAGCACATTGGAAAGGAAATGAAGGTGTCAGGCACAGTAGCACAGATACACATCCTTGGCTGAAATACATAAAAAACATTCTTCCTTCCATACCCTACAGTGCAATTGCTTCTGTTACATACTCAATACTGTAACAGCAGATATATTAAGATTATTACATTATATTAAATATACATTAAGTTCCTGTTAATTTGCTGTTACCAACAACCATTCCTGTGTTTCCTAGACAACTGCTTTGTTTTCTACCTCTCCTGCCTCTCTCCTTCAAATATTGTACTTTGACCTATTTCAGCTGATCCTGCTTCTCTAGTCTTTTCTCTCCCACGCTGAAGTTCAGACTGTTTCATAAGCTTGTTAAGCACATTTTCATCATTTTCCTCCTGCCCCAAGAGGAAATTCTCTCTTATTTCTTTGCTGCTTCTAATTTCCCAGAGAATCAGTCCTGACATATACTGACACAGAGCTTAAATGCCAAAGCAACAGTAACAGCATCAGCTCTCAGCTTCAGTCATCAGAAGGGCAGTGCCTCCTTAGGTGCAATATAAATGAAAATCATACCAGGTTACAGAATCAGAGAGAGAAGTATTAAAGAAATTGTTATAAAAACTTCCTTTTCCTACTGTCAATCTGGGTTTAAACAGTGAAAAAGGCCTTGGTGTTTGGCTGCTTTTGCAACCACATCTGCAGCCACAATTTACCATGCAAATAAATTGCAGCACTGAGCACAAACAGCAGGAGGAAAAGTTCCTCCCTCTCAACGTACCTCTGCACCCCACGTGGAATCCCCAGCTTCTTGCCCAGCAGTCTCTCACTACAGCAGTCCACAAGTCTCTTGAGGGTGTACAGACACTCCCGGAAGGTGGAAAAGAAGGGATAATGACTGAGGATGCACAGAGAAGTCAGAGTGCTGTTCCGAGAGCGATGGCTGCCTTTGGCCAGGCGCTTAGTGCGCGGGGATCTGTTCACGTCGGGGGTGGACTCGGCACTGGGGGCCTGCAGTGAAGAGCCGCTCTCGGAGCTCTCGGTGCCCACTTCCTCCGCGGGTGCCGGTGGATCCCCAGCTTTAGGGAGCTTCTGTCCCTCTCGAGCTCGATGTCCCCCCGTGCCTTCCCCCTTCTCCTTGGGTACTCGCTTCTGGAAGGAGCGGTAGAAGTTGACGCAGATTCCATAGCGAGTGACGCCCGTGTCCTTGTCCGTGAGGGTGAAGACGAAGGAAGTGTCGTCGCGGAAGCTCATGCGCTTCTGCCGCACGCTCAGGCATCCTTCTGGCTGGCAGAAGAACACAACGTCGGGCGGGAGAGGAAAGTCTGCGTGGTCCTCCAGAGGGTAACGCCGCAGCAGCTCAGGAGTCTGAGCAACACTATCGCTGCTTGGGTGCCTACAAGGAAGCAAACAAAAAAAAAACATACATAGTTCACTAATAATAAATTTTTTTGGGAACTCCCCAGACAGAGTTTCTTTACTAATGTGTCAGCTTCATCTTTGTTTCCTCTCTTCCCAACTATCCAGGGAAAAGTGCAGCTTCTCAGTCACTAGCAACAAAGCTCACTCACCAGCACAAGGCAGAAAGGTTAAGTAAAGAATTCTAAGTCTGTACAATCATTAGCAAGGAGCCTGTTCAAATCTGATTAAGAAAAGGCCTTCCAGGAATATGTTGCTCCCAGGAGAACACTGTATTGTAATGTTGCTCCAACTTTGACTTTCAAATTATTTTAACTGCACAGGTCTCTGGGCAACACTTCAGTAGGAAACACATTGTCCTTCTCCAAATAAACAGTAAGAGGGAAAAGCTCCTTGACTTCAGCCATTTATGAACAAGATGAAAAACTAAATGAGAAAACCCAGTATCAATTCCTAACTCGGAAAGCAAGAATTTACAAGGAAAGAACTCAGACAAACAGTGGAGTGATATGGACCTCATCCTAAAAACATTTCCAAGAAAAAGTTCTAGCAACCACTCAAACATGTGTTTGATTTTCGATTGGGATTTAAAGTGTAATTTGTATAAAAATTGTATTGTAACATGCAGAGCTATTTACCACTGTGACTCACTAATCCTCTCACCACAAATCACTACAGAAACATGAAGACAGAAAGGCAATACTGTTGTTTCCTAATTTTCCACTAGATTCTTTCAAGATATTACATTTTTGCCTATTTCAAAATACAAATGACACTTGCTTTTCTCATGTAAGAGATGTGAAAAAACTCAAACAAGTAGTAATAGAACATTTATATTTTACAAAAGAAAATCACTGGTGTAAATAGCTCTGCTGACTAATTCTTCCAAACTAATATTTTTTTCAAAACAAGTAAAAATGCTTTAATAATAAAACTGGTAACAAGATTTATACTGCCTGTACAGTTGGATACTGAAATATTGTATGAAAAACAAAAAGAGACACTAAAATGAATTTCTATGTTAATAGACACAACTAAATGCATCGTCTGCCAAAAAAGAAATGTCAAATAATGCTGGTACTATTTAGAGAGTCCATTTGGCAGCAAATGGTCCAAAAAATGACATCAACAAAGCACGAGTGCATGTATCACCACTTCATGCCTTTGCTGTAATATTAGCTACAAGGACAGAGTTTTCTCAGACACTGAGAAAGTTTGAACCAAACAGCTCCAAAAACCATTGCTATTTGTGCACAGGGGACAACAAGATGTAACAGCAAAGGCCACATGGAGCTCCTAAGGGCTTCACAGGAGAAGCTACTTCAGTCACTCCATCTCTCACCATAGGCATTTGCCAAAGAGCCAGATGAGACAGCAGCTCTGAGCAGCAGCAGTCCAACCAGCACGGGCTGGCAAAAAGCAAGATAACTGTAGCAGTCCAGAAGGGAGAGTAACAAATTCTAAGTGAGAACATCAGACACTAGAAGCTTCACTGGAGGAGGCAGCTAACATTTCTCCCTCCTCTTCCTAGTTGGTCACACACATATAGAAAACTTGGTTGTTTTCCTACAGATGTATAAGTATTAAATTATTACAGTGTTCTGTCCATAAAATGCAATAATAAAATAACTATTAGTCAGGATTATGCAATTTCCTCCACTCAGCCTATTTAAATGTTGCATTCAAAGTATTCTGAAAAGGAAGCAAGAGGTACAGCAACAGGCTGATGCACATGAACCAGTGATATTTTGAAATTAAAGCAAAATAGGTAATGAGATACACCCACTACACAGAATTTGCAGAAAGCTGCTGCATAAACTTTGAATAAGGAAAAAATAACATTTACCGAGCACCTGTATGTTTGATAAATAGAATACATCAACTCTGCATTTCATATGTGCTTTAAGTAAATATGCATAACATTTTATCTATTAATAAGACTTTAAATCCAGAAAGCATTCATGTCATTCCTATGAGGATAAATAAGTATTTGAGAGAGAATAGCCAAGTAAAGCAAGTTCCAGCTTTTTTTTAACTGAGTTTATAGACTATATTTCAAAAGCTAGAAAAGTAGTATTATTCTACTAGTAGTACATTCCTAGTAATAAAAGTAGTAGAAAACTTGTATTTTACTGCTTTTAGCTTTCAGTGTTTTCAATTTGTGAATCCCTCTGTCCTGAGGGATGCCAGTAGAAGCAAAGTTCAGACACAGAGACTACCAGAGAGTGATAGATAAATTAGCTTTTCTTAGTCACCCCTTGCAGACCCTTGAAAGGAAGTCTAAGACCACAAGTTAAAAAACTCTGACTGCACTAGTATCTTTCAAGAAGTGCCCTGGCTCAAGTAGGTGCTCCCCTTAGGGGAGAGTTCTGCACACATTTCAGACAGCACTTCCTGAGCTTCAGTCAAGTCTTCATCAGTGGATGCAAGGTTATTTATCCCCACTCTACTGCCCAAGCAAAAGCTCTGCTGAGACTGTTTCACATTACCTGGCTCCAATGATCACAAGATAGTCAAGTAGCCGAGAGCAGATTTTCTTTTTCTGCACCATTGTCCTTGATGCCCCTCCCTATGTCATCTCAAGGAATTTCTGTTCATTGATCCAGTGGTCAGTTATCCCATCAGCTGTGATCGCTGCCTTGGGGAACAGAATCTGCTCGGAGCTGTTTGCCAAGTCCAATCTATAACCAAGAAAAGCAAGAGTGTCAAAAGCACAACCAGAAATATCCAATAGATATAAGCATTAATTATATCCCCAGAAAGTCTCAGAGTTCTGTGCAGTCATGGTCATCCACAGATCTCTTTATGAGTATAAAAACACAGCCATATGCCCACAAAAGCAGAGAGATGAAAAACACACCAAAAAGTACAAGAGTGTCTCAAGAATTAATGGTTGGAGCTGATCATCCTAGAGGTCTTTTCCAATGTAAATGAGTCTACGATTCTGTTCTAAGGGAGAACACAGACAAACAAAGCTGCCTACCACTGGCAAAGAGCTACTCATTAAATGGTTTATGTGTTGCTTAGGCAAATCCATAAGATCCCCAGAGAGCTTGGGAAGGGAGTTTCAACAGGCAAGACTGAAGGGGAAAAAAACACAGCCTGAACTTTGGCAGTGGGATAAACAGAACAAACCAGAAATCCAGTTTCATAAAATGCATCCCACCAAGCCAAACCTGCAAATGGCTGTCAGCAGGAATGATCTCCACAATTCCAAAAGACTGTGTGTCTAACACTTTTTCTGTGAAGATGCAGAACTGCAGTTCTACAGAATTGCAGTTTGCAATAGCAAAAGTGCATCTTGTAAATCATATTGGGTTTTTCACTTAATTCATTTGGTTCCATTTATCTTGTTTAACTTCATTCCTCACTCTTCATACCATGCTTCTTGCAGCTAATTTCTCTGAATACTTCATGATAGAAAGATCCTCGTGATATAACTCAGGTTTTACTTCAGCATTACTACTTGTCAATAATCATACTTAATAGATATCCAGAAAACAATTCTTTCCAGTCCCACCATTCATATTTCATAGAATTCATGAAAGAACAGGGAGAAAAATAAAGTTTTAAAAAGTAATACAGATTCACATTACAGTGTTCCTTACAGTGTTTGAAACCAGCCTGAAAACAGAAACTTTCTGAACTTGAAAGACCTCAGAAACTCTAAAAATCAGAGATGCTCAGAGTATTCTAGAAGTTTACTGAACATTCCAATGAAATTTTTAATAAGAGTTGTTTTATATTTAAAAAATTGAATTGATTGCTTTCTGGGGCATATTCAGAATAAGGTTTCCATTTCAGTCATGTTTACATCCTAAGGCCATCAGAGAATTATTATTACTGTACTAAAATCTTTCAGTTCTGCAGCATAAATGCTTAGATTTTATTTGTATAAAACTATAACATCTTTACTAACAACCTGTAAATCTCAGCAAAATCAGGTAATTTTCTTGATGTTTCCCTCATTACTTCATAAGCACTGAAATTGTCAGCGTCGAAGAGTCATATTCAAAGTCCAGCAATGTATCTGGTTTTTTCCCAGTCCTTCACATTGCAAGAACAGAGCAGAGAAATTTATTCATTAGCCCTCCAAACAGCAATAACACAAAAACATCACAACAGTAAGAACAAAAAAGCACATATGCAATTTATAAAAAAAGGAAAATCATACTAGTCAGTAAGTATTAATTAAGGAAGAATGAACTGAAAGAAACTTGAACTGTCACACATAAAAAAAATCTCACATTTTGTGAAACTTTGTGGCATGATTTTAGTAACTCCTCAACTACAGTCGCTGTAGATTCCTAAGTAACAGAACCATGAATTATCTTCTCTGAGCAGCAATACTGCTGTAAATTATCTTCTCTGAACAACAGAGAAAATAACAGACACAGGAAACAAAGTTTCTGTTTCTAAATTTTAATGACATTATTGAAAACATTGTAGAATCTGTCCTGGAAAAGCTCTTGATCCTTGATATTCTGCAAATGTCTTGGCAAAGAAAAACTCAAGAGGAACAAGATGAAGTTGGGATATCAAGTGGTCCTTTTTGTCTCCAGTTTGAAAAACTGCTTTATCTGTTTTCTTTCCAAATGGCTTCACCCAGAACTCTTTAAGGAACAAACTGCTCAGTCACAGATAGGGGCATAGCAAGAAATCATGCAACACAACCTGCAAGTATGACTTCGAGGAAATTCTGCTACTTAGTGGAAACCAAAGATGTTTATCCTCAAAAACAGACAAAAAAAACCCCCTCAGTGAAGGTGGAGAAAATACACTGCATTTGTCTTTACACTGCATATTCTTTACACACATTTCCCACAGCTCTGCAAAGGAGTTAGCAAGGTATGCATCATGAGGGTCTCAGAACCCATGAGATTTCAAGAATATCTGAGCAGACAAATACAAGGAATATATGCAGGGCTTACAATTCCCTGGAATGGCTGAAGCTACATCCCACTAACATCAGACACTGAAGTTTCCATCAGTTTTTTAAAAAAAGATCTGAGCACTTGCCGTGATTTCTGCTTTCTATCACAACACAAATACAAGGGAGACCAGACTGATGCAGATGTTGTGCCAGGGCTCCCAGAGGTGCCTTTACTGATTTACTACACTTAACAACACAACAGCTTCAGTGAGACGTAAGAGGACAAAGGCTTTTTTGGGGAAGACGATTTGCTGTTGGATTGGAGCAAGAGGTAGAAGAATTAGAACCAAGTGTAGGTTTTTCGCCTTCCTCTATTCAATCTCTTTGTTCTTCAGAGATCTAGCAGTGGCTGATGACAGCACTTAGAAGAGCATTGCATCAGCCTTTGTTGGAACTCATCTTCCTACTCCTGCTTGGAATCAGACACCACAGTTGATGATCTGTATAAGGCAACACAAACAGTCCTGCCTCCCCCTCCCTATCTGCCAAAAGCTTGTTTTCAGGCCACTGTCCTTCCCTTCTCTGTGCTGGCAGAAGAGTTTGTGCAGCTACAGGGCAAAACAGACTGTCGAATTGATATGGACTAAAACTAACACCCTCCCTTCTTCTCCCTCGCTGCTTTTGTTTTTACCAGTTTTTTTTTTTCTTTTACTTGGTTCACCAAGTGGCCCCACAAATGCTAGTGCAGGCACAAAGAAAAGGCAGAAAGTAGTTAAGGAAATCTGGAAGACTTGACTGAACACAATGTGATCACAGAACTACAGACAGCACCTCTACAGGCAATACAGAGGTAGTTTCTTCCTAAGAGATTTCCTATCATCCTTCCAATACCTCCTAGATTTTAGAGACTAAGGACAGAAATAGATCAAACAACCAAGACATACTTCAATTTTTCCTCTTTCATGTTGGAATTTGGATCTGAACCAAGAGATTATCTTGACTCTGAAATGGTACGGGTTTTGACATTCTCTCTCTCAAACTGCTTTAACTTTAGATTGCTTTCTCTGAAAAGATCTTGTGCAGTGTCTTTTCCCTTTGCAAATATATTGGAACCAGCCCTTTGAAGGCTGAATGCTCAAGCAGCACTTGAGAAAAGACTTTCTGTGACTTCAACTCCAGAAAAGGAGAAAAACAGAGAAGTGAAGACCCACCATAGAAACACTGCACCAACAGATCACGTCTCAGACAACACCAAAATTGAAATAAGCACTTATATGGATGGTGAATGGGTTGGTGAGAACTAACACTGCCCACACACTGTAGCAGCTGTCAGCAATACTCACTAGTAAAAGCTGGTACAGTAGCCTAGGCACAAAGACAAAAGGCAAGAACCAGCACAAAAGCAGGGCTTACCAGTAACTCAAGACACGAAAAAAGTGTTCAAAACAACAAACATTGCTGGCATTACTCTGCATTTCTAAATTCCCCAAACACCCACATTTTAGGTTGAAGCACAACTTCTTAGAGAACAATCTGCACAGTATTCTGCAATTTAAAGTCCTCCCAGAAATAAAACTCTATATAAACAAACACACTCATGAAAAGCACCACAGCACACTATGGATAAGGGCAGCACGAAAGAATCACAGTAGACTTTTTATCAGCTTAGAGTCATCTGTGTCAGATCCATGCCCTGCTTTAGTCCCAAGAGACATGAATTGTGCAGTAACCCTATTTCATCTATCCCTTGGAGTCCTCAATCTTTGTTAAGAATCTTCTCATTGGAGACACAAATCTAGAGGAAGAAAGCAATTTAATCAAAGAATAACTTCAATAAAACAAACTGTTAATACAACTTGTGTCACTGTATGGGGTCTGGCTGAGATGGAGGTCATTTTCCCCACAGCAGCCCTCCCAGTGATGTGCTATGTGCTGGTAACTGGAAAGATGTTGATAACACATCAGTGTTTTGGCTACTGCTGAGCAGTGCTGGCACAGCATCAAGGCTGCCTCTCCAACATCTTCCCCCAGCAGTGCTGGGGAGTATGCAAAGTCTTGGGAGGAGACACAGCCAGGACTGCTGGCCCAAACTGACCAGAAGGATATCCCACGTGACGTCTGCTCAGGATAAAATCCAAGAGAGAGGAAGAGAAAGGCAGAGAATCCATTATTTAAAACATCTATAATCTGTAGCAACCACTAAGCCTACTGAAGCTCTGCTTCCCAGGAAATGGCTGAACAGCACTTGCTCCTGGGAAGTAGACAATAAAATTTATTGGGTTACTTTGCTTCCATGAATGCAATCTTTGCTTTATTAAACTACCTTTACTTTGACCTACAAGGTTTTTTCCATCTGATTTTCTTCCCCCTGTCCTGCTGAGGAGAGCTGTGAGAGAGTGGACAAGTGGCATCCAGCCAAGGTCAGCCCACCACACTCACCTGCAAGTGTTTTCCTCACAAAAGCTTCCAGCTTTGATGGGCCAGGCATGATGCCCAGCAGGTATTTACATCATTGCTTGCAAAAAATGGTATGAAGACAACAGATTAATTTACAACAGGAAGGTGCTAAGCCCTGCTTTCCTTACAACTCTTCCATGCTTTAAGATGGTACCAGGAAGGCTTTTCCTTCCATTATGTCCAGCTTTTACCTGGTAAAAGGATCATACTGCACAGTTCACCAGTGCATGGATACATTTAGAATACAAATCAGCATCATACAATTCAATTTGCACACTGACTGAATACAGAGCATACATGGGACATTAATTTGTAAGAGAAAAAAGAGGAAATTGTGAAGGAGACCACAAATTACAGGACTGAAGCCACATAAATTATGGTTCACTGAAATTTCACCTTGTGAAAGACCAAATTTTCAGTCACATCCAAAAGGAACTAACTTTTAGGTTCCTTGGAACACCTTGAATTTCTATTTACTCTCAGCTAAGACAACCTGTACCAGTTCAGCTCTAAGAGCCACTATGCCTGACCTTAGTGCATAGTCTTCTGTGAACTCAAGACTGAACTAAACTGAAAGCTGAAACAAACACAGATAGGGCCAGGAGTTTCAATGCCCACTTCTGGGTTTATTTATGTTTCTGTTTCTCACATCACACACTTTGACCTATCTGCTAAGCAATGAGAAATAGGTGTGAGTACCTCAGGACCAGCCAATCTCACCTGTGTGGGCAGGAACTCCATTTAATTCCCTGCTGAACTGGAAATAATATGGTTTGAAGCACAATGTGAACTGTTCATGGTAGCTTTAACCTGTCTTTAGACATTAATCTTTATGGAGTCTTTATCACTGAAATTTTGGTTACTTCTTCTTCCAAGTGTGTTTCAAATTATCCCAGACATTATCTCTGTAATAGCACATGCTATTTTTTGCTTGTACTAAGCTTTTAAAGAAGCAGACAGACAGTCCTCTTTTCACATGAGCCATTTTTCATTTTCTCTGCTTAACAACTATATAAAACACTGCTAACAGTTTTATACTTTAAAATATGCAACATTCTAGGAAGTTCATTATTGCTATTATCCAGATACTTCAACGTTTCTGCTAACACAAGAAACGCAGACAATAGCAGAGATGGGAACACTTCCCCTTCTCCAGAACTTGACAGAACATGGAACAATTTCTAAAATCTGACCTGGACAGACTTGCTATACTGGTGCAGCTGCTTTGTGTGTTACCATGCAGCTTGGCAAGGCAGCAGTGCATGCCAACACCGTGACTCCTAAGAAGACACTTGCACGTTGGAGAGGAAAAAAAAAAAAAAAAAGGACATTTTCAAAGAATTGCAAGCATACCTAAACAGACAATGACATATTTATCTAGTATGGCTAACCTATAACATAGGTGTGGTTCTGCAAAATGCCTAGGGGATAGTTCCAAGCATAAGAAATCACCTCGTAGAGAACAGGACTGCAGGCAAATTCTAAATGCATCCGCCCTGGAGCACATGCATCACTTCAATCAGTAAGAGCTGCTTACAGGTAAAACAGAAGATGCAACTCAATTATTTTCACTTTTCATCTATCAATAAATCTTGAGGGAAAGGACAGAATAAGCCAGATTAATGAAATTTAAAGAATGAATGGGGGAAACAGGTTTTGGTAATGCAAGAAGACTTCTTTTGAAGGCCTTATCAATAATGATGGTAATTTAAAGATTTCTACCTTTCCTACCAAATAATATTATCTTTTTGCCTTCTGAAAACAGTACTGACACAGCCAAGCATCTTTAGCCTCCACATTAGTTTTGAAGAGCAAAATGGAAGTAGCATGGGCAGGGGTGCTGACAGAGAGACTGAAAATGGCCAGAATTAGCCCACAAACAGAAGTGCCATGCCACACAGATGGAACCTTTTTGCAGCATCACGAGTGAAGCTGGACTGATTCAGGTTCCCGGTTGCTATAGTGACAGATTTCCCTGTCCTTGCCATATGTCAGCCCTTCAGCGTTGCTTCCTCTCTCCTTCCTGCTTCAGCCAAAAGCTTGGCTAAAGCAGCCTGTGTACATGCAAGATCACGCAGTCACCACACATGCACATGCTGTGAAAACAGAGCCACAGGTAATCTGATTCAGATCAATCACCATAGCAACCCAATCTTGTAGTCCCCAGATTTTAGCCTGTCGGGTGTATTTATAGAGCAGCTGCAGCGCTCCGCCCCCTCTGCTCCAGCACTGCCCACACTACCCCCAAGCCTCACCCAGGCACCAGGATTGCCCGGAGTCAGCGCTGAAACAGAGCCCTCCTGGCACCTGCAGGCCCCAGGTCACACAACAGTGCAACATGCTGAACACTTCCCAACCCATCAGCCTCACATATCCACGAGTACTACAAATATCAGGAGTCATTCTTGCCCCTGGAAAGCTGAGTACCAAGCACAGCTGACAAAATCTGCTTATCCGGGTAGCCCCAGCTGCTTCCACAGACACGCAGGGCGGGCACAAGAGGAACGTGCAGAGTGTGCTGGCACAAACACACAATCCGAACAGGAACTTGCAGCAAAGGCAAAGGAGCTTCCAGCAGCACCTGCCCCACACAGCCACAGCTGCACCCAGCAGAAGGCACCTGAAAGCCATGAAGAAAAATCAAGACCAGGGCTTGAATGAACAACAAGAGATAAGCATGTGAGGAAGAATGGTATGCAGATACTGTTATCCATTTTATTCCATTACACTCTTGGGGAAAAACATCAACAATAAACTAGTGCAGGAAAAGCACACCCTTTTATAGTACTCCACTTCCTAATAAGAAGGAGATGACAGATTTTAGCCTCAGCCACACGACATTTCACACGCTTCAATTTAGGTTAAAGACCTTATTCTCCTCCCCCCTCCTTTAGTGTGTGAAACATCTCTCATGATCCTTCCTGGGCAGGATCATTGTGCAGGGCACCACTCACTACAGAATCATAGAACAAATTCTGGCATAAAAAACCTCTGCCAATCTGGCCAGTTCTCCTGCTCTACACTGATCCAATTTAAATTCATCTCTTATTCAAAAATAATCTCTGGAGGTTTGCATGAGAGAACAGTAACACACGGCCAACTCTTTTGAAGTCTGTCCTTTTTTGCCCCTCCTTATGAAACATCACCATCACAAAATATGAAAGCCTTCTCATTTTCTTTACCTCATCAGCTTTCCACTGATCCTCAAATCTGCACTTATACATTTTGCAAGGAGTGGGGGTGGGAGAAAGGAAGGGCAAACCAAAACCCACACAATGCCCCCAGGCCAAATTAGCCTCACACCACCTGCAGCCACTACAGCATTACATTCTTTTCCAAAGCAGAACTGCTTTTGGCTTGAGCTTCGAGCTGAGAAACGCTGGTGCTGCTTCTGAGTGCAGCCTAGAGCCCAGCACCCACAAGATGCTTCCATTCCCAGCCCTCTGCCCAGTTCCCATAATGCAGAAGGCTTTTTCCAAAAGCCAAATAGTGTAAATGTACAGCCATAAAAAAATTAACAAGAAAACAACAAAGCATGTGACATTTGAGAGAACTGCTGGATGCAGCTGCAGTTGCTAAATTATTCAGTGCTTTTCCTTGCCACAGTGAGCAGCTCTGGGCCAGGAGACATCACTCATGGCATCATCACCACCAGATACAGGCACATTCAATTCTTTCCTGGAAATCGGTCACACAGACAAATGGGATCCCAACAACAAATTACAGCCATTTGTAAGACACAGGAGGGGAATGCTCACAACCAGTGTGGAAACACAGGAACATTGTTCAGGATAATGTGAGCCAGAAAATAAAGTACTTTAAATAAACCAGTAATTTGGCTGTTGTTAGCACCTCAGAACTCAGAGCCCCACATCTGTTTTGCCTTGTGTATTAGAAGCACTCAGCCTGTACCCCACGTGTGCCACCTGCTTGTTATTCCTTCCCCCTACACACCTTCCCCTTCTCTTCATCAACACGGTGGGAGATCAGAAATTCCTACTCTCAAACCAATCCTACTATTAATTCTGGTGATAAATCATAGTGCCAGCTGGTCCAAACCGAAAGGAAATAAAAGAGACAAGCCCGTTTTCTCTCTACAAGAGCTCTGGGGTGTGAGAAGCGTGCGTTTGGCAGACTCACCCACACGTAAACATCGGGGGAAGCAAGCTCAGAGTGAAGAAGGGACAGGAACCGCCTCAAGCATCTGCTGGGAGCCAGCAAATGACAGAGCAAGGGCTCCCGAGAGGACCTTCTAGACACCACAGTGGCAGCCACCACGGCAAAGGAAGGAGGGAAAACACCACCCTGCTGGGTATGCCTTAAGACTCCCAACAAAGAGAAGGGAGGAACCAGGTGGCCCGGAGGACAGGAGCAGCGTGCCCAGCTCGTGGCTCCAGCAGAGCAGTTTTAATTGCTTATCAAGAGGAAACAGACACGGCAGAGGAGTGGCTCAGCATTTGAGGCTGCAGCAAATTTTGGTGGATACTGGTTTTGATTGTTAATTATCTGTACCACAAAAAGCACTCCTCCCTCCAGCTGATGACACGGAAACAGGCAGAGACACAACTCCTCATCTCCTGTCACACGGGCCTTTCCAGAGCAAGGACAAGGCACCCAGGCAAGCAGAGATCCAGGGAAGCTGGTGTCAAAGCTACAGGCAAGAAGGTAATCCAAAGTTTTACACTGACATTGGGAAATTCAGTCAGAGTATAATGGGAAGCAGCACACAACCAGAGCACTGATCTTGCAGATGGGACAAAATAACAGGATATGAAATAAAAGGCTGCTCTGCTCAAAAGATAAAACACAGTTACTGGAGGTCATCAGATAACAAATTTGACAGTAACATATCTTTGTCCCTTGTATAAAAAAGCGAATGTTAATTCCCTGATTCTCACAACTGTTTAGAGATTAGTTACAAACAAAACAAAAAGGTGATACCTGACAAACATTACTGGATACATCAAAGGCAACATGATGACCAGCTCTGTTTTTAGGAATGCAGCTGCTTTGAAATAATGAAGGGTGTAGAAGAAACAGAAAAATATAAAATCTTCTTCCTTGCTGCTACACTGATGCATTATTTCTCACAGCAACCCAGAAACACAAGAGTCTCTCATTTAACTGCAGTGTCTGGGATCACAGCATGAGAACTACCTCAGCTTAGGTAATTTAGGCAAGCAGCACTTCTTATTTTTAAATCCCTGCAAGGGTCCTGCTAGTAGCAGTGATCTAAGGTGCACACAACCTCTCACAATTCAGTGGTTGATGGGCACCAGCAGGCACAACCTCCCCATCTGGGAGTTCCCCAGTGTAAAGGTATTTCAGAGCTCCTGGCAGTTCTAGTTCCAAGACAGAAATCAGGAGCATGTTTGTCAATAATCAACAGACATTTCGATGTGGTTTTGACAGGTTTAAGGAGATCCAGTGACAGAGAATCTAACTGCTCTAAAATTATTTTCTAGCTTGAACAGAGCAAAGACCAGCTGAATTATACAGGTTCAGCCACAGAGAGTGAGCAGTAGGTGGATGTAAGTTTTCATAGTTCTCAAGGCAGAGAAGGAAAAGCAGCAAAGCATTCTGCCTACAAAAGAAATATCACAATTATTCCACAGATTAACAGATTATCCCACTAAAATACATTCCTTTCTAATTGTTGCCTCATGACGCTCATTTTTATTTCACTTTGTTTCTTATTAGGTCACTGACAGTGCTTTTACTTCACGAATATTCATATCCGAGGATAGATGAAAGCTCTTTAAACTGGGGGCATGATATTAATCTTGCATATCAAGCTCTTTCATTCTTTTTTTCTAAATCCTTTCCTCATTGCTGCAAATCCCTAATCAGAAGCTGTATCTGTATTTTCTACCAGTTCACTGAATAACTGTGTTAACTGCCTGGAAATTTAATGCAGTGTATCTTAAATGCAGGCACAGCAGGGCCAAAGGACATTTCAGGAATTCATTTGAGTTGTAACATATGCACTACCTGTCTCCAATTCCTTCCTAATGGAAAGTAAGTGAACCATTCACCTCTGTACTAAGTTTTAACATAAAAGTATCAATTACCGAGTATGATGGCAAATACGGTTAAAAAATGACAGTGTGAAATGAAAAGGAAGACACTCTATTTTACACCATTTGTTATCCTCTCTCACATACTAAATCTCTACCAATTTTTCCCCCCAAAAAGAAAACTGTTCCTCTAACGAATGTATCTGGAAAGGAGTATCAGAGAAAATCTATTAGCTGGAATGCTGGATATTAAAAACTTCTAAGAAATTTATTCTCTTAGAATTAAGTAGTACTTGTGACTTTCTAATTTAATGCTCAAAATTTTCATAAATTTGTTTTTTCTGGCTTGTCACAGAAGATATTGAATAGACTAGACTGAACATCTTGACAGAGGCATGCCTAGTAGAGTCTGTCTTTACAGAACCAGAGTATTTGATAAAGCTTGAGGTGAGAGGAGAAAAGCCATAAATTATGAGCCTCTATGCCCCAGAGCCCAGGGCAGATAAAATCAAAGCCAACACTAATTTAATTCAGTGTTTAAACAAGTGTTTTAGTAAGGCCTGAAATGTACTGATGCTTCTACCATTTCTACTGAACCATCAGTCCTGACGTTCTAAAACCTAAAAAGCTACTTTGGGTAGGTGGGCAAGGATTACTGATAAAAATCCTCAAAACTTTTACTCCTCTGACCCCCAAATCCTTCTAAAACAGACAGAAGTTGGATTCAGTGCTCTCAGGCACATGGTGTGGCTCTTGAGGATGGTCCTGTGCAGGGCCAGCAGTTCGATTCAATCATCCTTGTGGGTCCCTTCCAACTCAGCACATTCTGTGATTCATTACATACATACCCTGTCTGCTTTCAAAAGAGTTACAGAATGGTACCATGGTTGAAGAAGAGGTTTGTCCTCTAGCATATGTTTATGTTTTTCCATGAAAACTTTAAACTAGATGATTTTTTTTGTCAGTTTCCACACAGCCGTTGGTTCGCTATCATTCACGGCTTTGGCATATAACACACGTCCTAGAACTGTGTCTTGGCCACGTTATGCATTTTGTGTAGACAACATTCTTTCAGTGAGAATACTGATTTCCTTTTTTTTGCCCATCCAGTAAAATTAGAAATATTTTAAAAGCAATAAGGTGGAAAACAATGCAGTAGGACTCTGAAGCTTACAGCTTGAAACCTGTTAATTTGGTAAGAACACAGGAGTCCAGACTTGTGATACAACTGCAGCACCACTGGACAGGCAGGTACAAGATCTTTTAGTGAGGACAAGGCTGTATTACTCTCCAAACAAAAGCATTCTAGAGACTTGCTGATGATTCTGCATTTTGTTAAACACACAGTAAGATACTTAACGAGCGTGCATTTAATTACAGTGTCTATTAAATTGTGTTCAAAAGCTGTGCATTTTCTAACAATACAATAGTAAGGCAAAAATAGTATTTTATAGCTGGAATGATCTATCAGTTCAGTGTTACATAACATGCTGTGAAGAGATGGCCAGATTAAATCCTGTAAAAACTGCATTTTAGCTATGTTGGATGAGAAGTGCTCTCTTGGATGTGTCAGAATTGCAGCTTTTCATTAGTGCTGAAAACAGCAAGTACTTCTTGTGCCTAATCCAAAACAGCTCCCTAGGTCCAAGCAGTATAAAGTCCAAAAATAGAGACACTTCCCAAATACCCTATATTTAGATGACTTTGGTTTGATTATGTGACCCTCAGGACATCACAATACATCTTCCCTTCCCTTGCTTGTGTCTACAAGTAGCATCCTTTTTGCAGATAAGCAATGGTGCAAGGAGCACAGCAAGGACACTTGAGAGCACACCAAGAGAAATGCTGACCCACTGTCACACTGGACGTAGAGAAAATGGCTGGCTTGTCTAGGGAGGGCACAACATATCGCCAGATCACAGTTCTACCCCATCTCCATGGGGCTGCAAATTTATAATGGATGCTATTTTGCATATGACTGAGAACAGTGTGGTATATGGAGGAGTTCAGGGGAAAAGGGAGAGAAGAAAGACGGGAAACAAATCAATTTTTTTCAAAGCTTATTTCTCGAAACACTTCTTTATCGTGACTCCACACAGTGACACAGACCAAGCTTTCTTCCCCTCCTCCACCTGACAATAAAAGCGAGCAACACAACAAGGTGGTGACATCCATTTCGGAGGGGAAAATGCTCTTGATTAGTAGTCGACTTCATAAGAAATTGCCCACTATAAAGCGGATTTCCTATTCTATTGTCTTGCGGAGTAACAGGATCTGCTGTTTACAAACCAAGGAGTAAAGCACCTTTCCAGTCACATTACCGCAGCAACCCCTTCACACGGCGGCACACCTCACCCTTTCCAAGGGGTTCTGTCCGCCCTGAGCCGCCCTTCTCCCCTCCCTCCCCGTGCTGCCCGCTTCCACCGGGCCGGGACCGAGGAGAAGCCGCCGGGCGGGCCGGGACCGAGAGCGCCGGCCCCGCGCCCACAGCCCCGCCCCGGCAGGGCCCCCTCCCCGGCCGGCCCCGCCGCTATTCCCATAGCCAGTCCCGGCTGGAAACCCGCAAGGACCCGGCAGAGGCTCCTGCTTCTGCCGCGCGGGGCCGGCTCCGAGAGCGGCCGGCAGAGCCCGCGGCCACAGCGGGACATCGCGGCCCCGCCCGCCGCCGGTGCCCCGGCACGATGGAGCTCAGCCCGGCCGGCCCCGCTCCGGCAGCGGCGGGACACGACCTCTGCCCGCCGCCGGCCGTGACCCTGCGGAAGGGCTCGGCGCTCCCGAGCATCACCACCGCGCCCGGCCGGGCGGCTGCGGCAGCAGCAGCGCTCGGGGGGGGCCCGCCGCCAGCTGTCCGGGTGCGGGTCACCGCCGGCAGCGCCACCGGCCGCGCTCCGCGCTCCCCAGCCCGACCCATATGGAGGGTCTGTGGAGCAGGCTCCGCTTTTGACATGTGCACGCACCCGGCCGCCTGCAGCACCGGGCCCCGCCCGGCCGGGCCGCCCCGCTCACCTGCGCCGCCGCCGCCGCCGCCGCCGCTCTGCGCCGCCCGCCCAGTTCCGCATCGAGCGCCAGCGGCGGCGCGCGCCACAGCCGGCGCAGGGGGCGGCGGGGCGGGCGGAGCGAACCACTCGCAGCCGGGCGCGGGGGGAGCCGCCCCGCCCGCCGCCCGCAGGGGGCGCTGCAGCCGCGGAGGGGCAGGCGGGATGGAGCGGGATAGAGAGGGGATGGAGGCGGGATGGAGCGGGATGGAGGCGGGATAAGGGGGGATGAAGGCGGGAGAGAAAGGGGATGGAGGCGGGATAGAGGCGGAATAGAGAAGGGATGGGGGCGGGATAAGGGGGAATGAAGGCGGGATGGAGATGGGATAGAGAGGGGATGGAGGCGGAGCATAGAGGAAATCAGGCACTTGAAGCAGGAATCGGTGCTGCCCGAGCTCGTCCTGGCGAGCAGCAGCTGAAGCCTCGCAGCAAAGCCCGGCTCCACACGGACAAGGACGCGCTGCCTTGCAGCAGAAGGAGACGCAGTGCCCTGTACTTTCACCCTCTGTATTGAGCTACATGCTTGCTGATTTGCTAGTAGTTTCGTAAGATTACAAGAGAATTTGGTTATTAAAAGCTTTAGATACAGCTTTTTAAAATTCCTTCCAAGCTCCTACAACCCAGTTAGCTGCACAAACAAATCAATTTATTAACAAAACCAAAACTACCAAAATAAACCCAAAATGTAATCAAAAGCACCACAAGTAATCCACAATTTTTATACATATGGAGTGCAAAATAGAGAACCACTGTTTGATATTCCTCATCTATACTTTGCCCATGTATACTGTAGAGGAATTGGGTCTTCAAAAATACCTTTTCAGGAATACCTTTCCTCCTTCCCCACTGATCTGAGTGTATAATGAGAAAATACAGCTGCTGAATAAGGGTACAGCCAACCAGGAACACCTCCCAGGACTGCAATTCAAGCACCCCAAGATTTCTCCAGCAGCCAAATCAGAAAAATTA